AAAGTACCAACAGAGTTATAAGCATTTTATTATAAAAAATAAAATAATTATAAAAAATAAACAATACTTATATAAATATTGTATAATTTTAAAATAACCAGAAAAACAAAACATAACCCAAGTGCAACTATCGACAGAAAAATGCTTATAACTCTGTTGGTACTTTTACGCATACGGCTGTTTTTTGCACAACTGGGTCCAATTATCAGTTAGTGTTTTCTCATAAGATGATAATTATCACTTTTCCTTTTAGTTGTTAAAGAACACTTTTTTGACCGATTTCAAAAAGGAGGTATTCAATTCGTCTGTTGGTATGTTCTTGTTTTACATATCCAAAGTCACTTGACATATTGATGCCAACGTGCATCGATTTTTATAATTCTTTTTTTAGTAAGTTATACCTCAAGGGAGGTCTCATATTAATTTTCAAGAAAAAATGTAACACGTAATAATGGATGGATGACTCTTCAAATTTTTACGATACTTTCACACTCGCGGTGAGAGATCACTATGAGATACAAGACCTAAAGCTTAACATTTTCTGCCAACCTCTCAACGATAAACTGTTATTGAGATAATCTTAATAGAAAAAATCTAATAAATATACTTGACTTCACCAGGGACTCGAACCCGAGACCTCCAGATCTGTTGCCAAACATGCTAGTATAATATAGTGACTAAGCCAACGAAATAGTCAATACTCATGACACATCACATACTAACATTTGTAAATGAAAATCTAATTTTAATACTGATACCAATTAATTATAATTAGCTTAGCCTATAGGAAGTGTGGTGAGGAAAAATAAAACAAATCGTACCAGGAAACTTCATATAATCATATAAACATTACAAGTTCAAGCGTTTCACTTTTTAGAGCAATATCGTTAACAGTATTCGATTTATTAAAAAATTAAAAAACATTCAAAGCTTTTCTAACTGCCTCTACCTTAAAACTAATTTTATTTAGTATATTTTTTTGGATGTTTCATTGAAAATAAGAGATAACTTTTGACGATTGATTTAAAATATTAGGAGCGCTGTATAATGAATGAATGGCTTAAAATTCCAAAGTCGATTCCATTTTGTGATGGTCAAAGTCGAAAATGTTCTAAAAATAGGTTGGTAATTGTATTATCCATTAGCCAAAAGTTACATTTAAATAGTCAAACATAACAGGTATTAAATATATTGCTATGAAGAGTACAAGCAAAGAATATTTAATCTAAGAACTATCCTCGTACTACTATTATTTTTATGATTTAAAAAAATATTACAAAATAAAAAAAATACGTATACAAGTAAAAAAAAACTAAAAACTTTAGATGTATATTAAATTATTGAATACATAGAGACAGCATTAATCTTTGCCTTTACTCTCCAAGTGCATGTGTTAAATAAAAAAAATCATCATTTTCCCTATAATGGAAATTACGTTTTTTTTGTCATTATTGACCGAATTAAAAAAAAAGAGTAATTACTCAATTTGGGTATTTTTGTATATATCACGCGATAACTTCGCAATTTATTTATTTTTTTTCATGATTTTTTTATAATAAATAGTTTATACGTCAATGGTAATCCTATAAAAACTTCAAAGAAATACCCGCTCTTATGGATTTATTACGTTTTATATGATCTTAAAGTCAGTGTAGCGAACCCTTTGAGTTAAGAATAATTATTATTAATCATTAGGTTCATTGTAAAATACGAGAAACGCAAATAAAATCAAGATGGCGATGATCTTTTCAACAAGCTCTCTGAGAGCTTCAGACATTGATTCTTGGACTCTGGCACCAGCCACACGAAAAGCACACGATTTTAAAAATGAATTATAACCAAACATAATATGGCGGCCACTTTTACTTTATATTTTTAACTAAAATAAAATAGTTTGGTATTTAACTCGCAATTAAGAATTAAAACAAATAACATCCCTTTTTGCCTGAGTCAAAACCGCCATATTGAATGAAATTACGTACCTATACCATTATTTTTAGTAAGCAGTCAAGAAAAAAAAACAAGTTAAAAATTAACTTTATTACAATTTCTTATTTAACATATGCATTACTCTTATGGATATGCCTTTATCGTGTTAATCACAAATTTTAATCATCCTTTTTATATTATCGATGCAATTACTCTACATAAAATAAAAAAAAACTGTATTCCGTTTAGGAACTTAGAATAAAAAGGCTACAAATTGCTGACTGAAAAAAGGTTTAAAGCATATTTAAATAAAAAAATAATAAAAAAAAGGTTAAAACCATATGATTTATTTTATTTTCTCATGAGGTAAACCTATATCTCAGTTTTTCCTAGAATTTGTGACAGATTAAAAAAAACGAAACAATTTTGACATACCCAATAATTAAGATTAATAAAATTATTTTTTATTTTACAAACACATCTGTCATTTGTTTACGTAACACAGCCAATAAATAGTGACGTGACTATAAATTTTGGTAACTCAAAAGGTCACTTAAAGTCTAAATAAATACGTCTTTAATCTTTATAATAACAATTAAATACATAATATAATATGTTACAGATTTTTTTGAATTAACAAAAACTTTAACAAGAATATTATAAAAGCAAGAAACGATGAAATCATTGGTATCATATATTAGTAATATTAAATCAATTTTGATACAATCTATATTGAAAAGTGTTATGGGAAGAAAAAACTACCGCCTTCTTAGGCATAAGATAATTTGTGCTTAGAAACTAAGAAATAAGTTATAGATTGATAAAAAAAGTTCAAATGAACGTTGAATCATTACTGTATACTCTATTACTTGGATCGACTAAACATATAAACAAATATTTCTAACCGACCTTTATTTTCATATACGTATAACATATACATGTGCCATTTTTTATAGCAACAAGTATATTTTTTTAAACTAAAATGCAAAAGTTCGATATTTGTATACCTTAAATAGTAATCGATATTCAAAAATCGATTTTTTAAAACTGGTTATTACTAATCGATATCATATAAAGCAAGTAAATAAAATGTCTGTATAGTGGTTAATAAACATCGAATACATAAAACCAATGATCCTATATGTAACATAATCTCAAAAAAAAATGACGTTTATATTTTAATATATTACAATAACATGTATTAATTAAAAATAATTTCACTTTGCAAAATACATATTAGCACCAAGCGTTAAAAAAAGGATAATTCATATATAAATTTGGAATTAATACACATCCCATTCAAGCCCTATACTTTTTTAATTAGATGATCTAAACTACAAAGGACATCACTAGCGCTAAGCGTACAAAATGGACGACTAAATTCACTACTATTATTGTTTCCAGTGAACACTAAGTTTACGATTCAGCTTTGGAGCTCTAATTTTTAAAAGTATCAAAAACAAAGAAAAATATTATTAAGCGAAATAATAGCATCTTTAAATGTTTCACATTGATTTACGGTAAATATAAATATTAATTTAATATGCGATATGAGATTCTTTTAGATTTAAAGCTGTATAATTTGCTACCTCTGAATATGCTTACGAAAATAAACCTTAACACGATGGAATAAAGTACAAATTACTTTACCCAATTCAATATACTGTACGTCTACTTTCACGATCTCATACAATCTACGATATGTACCCAGTTAAGTACGAACAAGCGTTTATTTTCGAGGCTTTACGAGTTTAAATAGTTGATTATCGAGACAAATATATCTATATTATATTAAAAATCTGAATCTCTATTGCGAAGAATTATATGCGAGACGTAGAAAATTGTGCGGTTTTCGAAATATAATTAATTATTATATAATATAAACATCAATATATAGAGTTTTTGCATATACGTAACATAGTACCAACTAGTCTACAAACATTAAACTTTCCCAAATGGTTTGAAAAATTCAAACGTTTCCGTAAATATGAACACACAGTATTTTATACATAATAAAGAATATGTTTATAAACCTTCAATAGTATGTTTTGATCATGTAATTTGATTTGAAAAAAGTTCTCAGAAAATATACTTACATATATAACTTAAAGAAGATTTAAATAACTTAGCTTGATCGAGAAAAGAAAAAAAATTGCAACTTAAGTTACAAACGCCACTAAATAGGGCTATTCAACAAAAGGGTCGCAATATATGCAAAACAAGAAAACAGTCAGTAAGACAATTTAACAAAATATTAGTTTGTATTAAGCGTACATTGCATTAAACTCAGATTCCACAGTTGAGCAGCCCTGTTCCATACAAAATATATCAAGAGATATAACGACGTATATAACATTTATGAGACTATTTTTAAAACACATTTATCCGTGCTATGGAGTGTAGAGATGAGGAGTCACTTATATGGGATATAAGTTAATAAAGTGTCCATCTGTATGCTGAAAATAGATGGCGCTGGCGTACGAAAAACTACGATATGAATTTACCTGTTTTATACGGAGTGTTAAATCCGGTCCTTGTTTATTTATATCTCTATCTTACTCTAATTACTTTTGGCGCTTCCTTTAAAATATATCCTACGCTACCGCAGCGCCACCCTTATAGAGCGCATTTTCACGGACACATTTTCATACACAGATAATACTCCTTACTTCTATGCTCCATAAGCGTGATGAATAAAGATTAAAAATAATTAGGTCCGTTCAGAACAGACGTATTGCAACAGCGTGTCTTACTTGGTGTACTATTACGTCGTAGGTTAGACACCTGTTGATGAGTGGTGTGATTTTTTTACATATAATATAGAACTCTCTGAATATAGATAAAAAAACGGAGAAATATTACAATTCTCTCTGTCTAAAATAAAAATTAAAAAAATAAAACAGTTACAAAAAAACAGATAATACCATTCCCTCCAATAATCCAGAAAAAGAAAAACAAATCTTTACTAATTGAGTTAAATACATTTTAAAAAGTAGTTTTTATTTAAGGCCTAAGTTGAAGAAGATGAAAACTAAGGAATAAGGAACTTGTTTAAATTTACAGGACATTCAAACGTGTTCAGGCCCTGGACTTCCCTCGGTTCGCCGAGACACCACATGTTTAGACAAATCCCGTATATCTTGGTGGTCGCCGTGAGCTGCTAAGTCGAAATCGGAGCCAGATAGTGATGCAAAATGGTTCCAATTGGACTCTCCGTCACCTATACAAAAAATATAACTTTAATTATAGTCCAGGTGATAGTTGTTATTTTATGCAGTCTCAAAATAAACAGAAATTTCGAATAAAAAAAAATTGTATGGGTTTTCATCTAAATTTTGAATTATTTCTTTTGAATTATGTATCTAGCGTAAAGCTGCCGAACTACTTCAATGAAAGCTCAATTCAAAGTGCAAGTTCATAATAAATATTCTGTGTGAAGCATAATACTATTGCTGTTTGAAAGCATACTCGTATCGAACTGATCAATATTTTTTTTTATTTCAATCAAAAGTATACTGAAATAATAAAGTTATTTAAAAAAATATCGGATATCAAATAAGTTACATATTGGACTTATTTTTTTATTTAATAATAATATCACAGATGATATAATACTATACTAGTAATTAATATTGAGATAATCAAAATAAACAAAAATTAAATTAAAAAAATAATTAGACTGGATGCTAAAGTGACCCAACACCTTTATTCATAGCGGTTATTTACTTTGAAATGCCAGTAGAGTTGTCAAAGCAGTTTTTATCATAATCAGTAGCATGGAAGATTGTGAAAATTGAAAACAAAAAAAAATTCAACACATTCAAACACTGGTACATTATTAGAAGATTTGTTTCTGATGCATATTTTGAATGTAATAAAAGATATTCGAAAAAAAACTGTACGGATTCCAAGAAGCTTTTATGTACTGTTTCTATAATAGCCTGATTTGAAACAAATAAATTTCGCTTCTGTCAGTCAGGTCTGGACTTACCAAAGACTACACAGGCTATACATATTTAGTGTTTATGTATTGAGTAAAAAATACTGTCATAATGATTTATTGAGTAAATCTATCTTGAAATATCTCCGTAATTAAAGGTTACATATTTTCAAAGAAAATTGAACCTTAAGCTATATTATTAATGCCTGTTAGTCTTTGCCTGTTATTATTGAATATGTTATTATTAATATATTATCTGTTAATAACCATGCAAATAAACTTTAATCCTAAATCTATCTTGTCTCCTTACTAAAGATAGGAGTTTGACATAATTTTGTATAAAGCTTATGTCAAATGTCTATCCCTAGTAAGGATAACGATAGACAGATAGGTTATACATCGTTAGTGTTAATGTTACGTGAACTTGGTACCAATAAGTGTGGGTGCATGCGATTATTATTTGATAATATCAAACTCACTCACAAAACTTTTTGTAGATATCTCGCACCTGTATGATGTGTCTTGCGATACGTGAATGTACTTACTATATTAGATTTAAGCTCGCCTTAGTTAGAAAAATAGGCAAGAACATCAACAATGAAAAAAAAACAACTTTTTAGTGACTGGAGTATAAAATATTTGTATCCATCGATATACAGTAATCTAAATTTTTTGTCAAATTGATGAGGTTCTCGCCAATTCTAGACTGCATTGAATATGTATAATACACTGACTACATGTTTCTTTAAAATAAACATTTTAAGGCAAATGCATATTAAAAATCTTATATTCATCTTTCAATTTTGATCAAAAAGCAATGTAAATGTCACAAAATATTGGTATTTTCGTATTCACTGTTATTAAATGTATCACCAATAATAACGTTACGTTAAAATATCCGATATAACAACAGAAAGTCATTGCACAAAGACACTGCAAAGATAACTTCGAACTCGCCGAAAAATCTCTGCTGATGGGCCTATTAAAATAACCATTCAAGACTAAATTCTGGTCACATCCAACCTTACCAAGACTTTCCAGGTACAATGTAGTTATTGTAATCAAAGAGCGTGTTCACAAGCACCAGCAATCTCTATTCGTTTAACTCTCGCAGTCTGATGGCGCGGTTCTAAAGGGTGGTTTAGATTAAGACACTATACACGGTACACTCAGTGTATATACCGAGTGTCCAATTTCACAATTACAGACACTCGCCATCACACAGAGACAGTCGGTGTACACTACCGTGTATAGTACTTTAGTCTAAACCGGCCTTAGCACTCGAGGTGAGGACAGCAGACGCAGGACTGATATCATCCATCTTTGCATAGAGGTGTTGTTACACTATCAACATTCCAACTGCTTCTGGTACTAAGATTTTCTTGGCGACCACGACAACCCAATTATTATTTTGGCCTAACTTGAGACTCGGAATTATATATAGAACTAATAACTGAATTAACTTATTTTTCTTTTTTTATTTTTGTATTTTTCTATATATATATTATATAACAAATATATATTCATTAATAGAAAGAGCCATAAGCGAGGAAGGTTTATGTATATAATTTGTAAATGTTTGTACGAAATAACTGAACCTAGACAGTGTTTTCTTCAAAAAACTGTTTTTAAAATTAGATAGCTAACGCTAGCTAAACCTTAGAGATACATTAAAATAATATACTAGTAAAATTGTAAGTCTTAAAAAGGCCTACAGAAAAGTCCGCGACAGCATATGTGTATCTCCTAAGGTACGCTCACAATAACTAATTTTATCTACATATTTAAAACATACCTAGGAACGCACCCGAGCGAAATGAGGTTAAGTCGCTAGTTATTCATATGTCAGTCGCACATATACCCGCATTTCCGCATCTTCGAACGACATTATATAAAAGCATCGATCAAAAAAGTACTAGATACAAAATCCACTGGAAAAGTTCTCTTAAAACGGTCACCAATTGTGTTTAGGTAATTATTTTAGTTAAAATAAATATACAACAATGTAAACTGAACTTTAAATGCAACGCATAAAGTAGTTTACACAAAAAAAAATTAAAAACGCGCTCAAATATTCTAATGAGTGCTCATTCGGTGAGGACATTTTTTGTCCTTGATAGTGTATCTAGTACATGTTAGATTTCCCATTTGATTTGAGCCCAGTAGGAATTGTAAGAACAGAGTCTATTCCCAAGTAAAGGAGCATATTTTTGTAATTCGCCAAGTATTAAGTTCCTGGGAAATAAATCACTAATATTCAATCTAATCTAAAAGTTTATAGTACATAATTGCCGTGGTAAGCGATTGCATTTATATAAGCTCCATATTTACCTGAAAATCCAAAAAAGCTGTTTCCAAGATAATAATATATATAATTAATTCCCAAAATATTTAGCGCGTAAGCCATTATATAAGCATCTTTAAATTTGTTTAGAGTATAATTTTTAACGGTCCTGCGAGCTGACCGTTTTTATTAAACGCTTTTACTCTAAATCTACTTACTATTTACATAAATGAGTCCCCTATACTTATTATACAATAAAATATTTTTCAAAAACTTTTAAAAATAGCGATTTTCTAATTTAAATATAACAATCTTTTACTTTAGGTACTAGATATAATTTTTATTTTCTGTTACCTCAAGTGAAATATTTATTTGATTTAAAGGCCTCAAAATGATTAAAAAGTGATTAATGAATGAATTCTACATTCATATATTTTGTTTAAAATTTCATTAGTCATCACACCGAAAAAACACACGAAATCTAAGGGTAAAAATAAAACTAAACATTCTGTCAGTGTATCAGAACACACGCAACACAGTCTCGAGTCTTTGTTCATTGGTGTAAAATATACCCAAAAAATAACATATGGGACTAGATCATATAAAAATCAATTAAAAAATAAACTACTTTTTTATTAACAACTAAAAAATAAAAATGCAAAAAGATATATGATTTTACCAACATTTAAATTTAAATATTTAAACATTTCCATTTCACCATATAGGCACAATGAACTCGACCTTTACCAAAAAAAAATCAAAGTAAAAAAACACACTTCACTAACAGTGCTGGATTTAACCTTAGCGAAGCCCCTGGGCATAGTAAAAAATGCTGCCCTATTATCGATTTTGAATAAAATGTTGAAAGTTAAATTTTTTTTAATTATTATTTTTTTGAAAAATGCAAAAAAAAATTTATAAATGACATCAATTATTCCGAAAATGAACCTAATATTTAATCTTTTTTTATATGTCATTTTTTGTAAAATAAAAAAAGTATTTTCGATAACGCGAAGAAATTTTTTTTCCCACCCACCGAATTCTGCCGCCCCGGGCAATAGCCCGGAGTGCCCCTAGAGTAAATACAGCGCTGATCACTAATGAACAGAGACTCGATATCAGAAAGCATATGCACTGCCTACCGTGACCGTTAGACGGGCGTGGATAGCCGCGCGATAGGACCTTGGTGGTTGTCCGCGCGCGCGGGCAGCGGCGTGCGCGCGAGCGACCGCGCGCGCGTCTCCTCCATTATGAAGCTGTTGATGACGTACGCCTCACGCCGGATGCGATCCCGGAGCTCCCCGGACATGTCCGGGATCGCCCATCGCACTATTATCATCACTAGCGCCACCACGTTCTGGAATGTATCACGTATGAAATGAAATAAAGTTTATTCAATTAAACAAGTGCTTTTGAATCGTAAATTTAATGAAAGCGTCAGTGTAATCAGACCGTGAGGAAGCTACCACCGGCTCGTTTAATATTAGTGAGATGTCAATCTACACTAATATTGTGTATATATATATATATATATATATATATATATATATATATATAATAGGAAAGATTTGTATTGTTGTATGTTTGTAATGAATAAACTCAAAAAGTACTGGACCGATTTAGATTGAGACCCTGGAAAGGCCATAGGATAGTTTTTATCCCGGAAATCATCCCTTAAGGAGGTGAAAATGGGGATGACAGTTTGTTTAGGGAATGGGTGAAGCACTAGTTTGTTTGAAATTGTAATTAATTAGAAAAAAACACTGCGTTCTCCAATGACAATTACGGATTTGTCTTTATTATTTTCATTATGTTTGCCATGCGAATCAGAAGAAGGTGAATTGTAAAGTGATTTTTATAATATTTTTTTTTGTTTAAAGGTAATTAGTATAAAAAATATATGGATTTTCTGAATAATTAAGAATAATACACATATTATTATAACTTTCTTCAAAATATAAATATAACAGCTTACATCACACATTCAGCCAAAAAATAGCTCGTACCGTCTTTTTAAAATTCTATCTCACTTACTCGTAATCTACCTTAAATATTAAATTAAAAACTAAATAATAAATAAACAACTTACTTCAAACACAACAACAAAGGCCAATCTCGCCCCCATCACATGCCAGTACCAATTAGAATGCTCGTAGTCATCTCCTTCCTTGTAATACCAGTAACCAGGATAACTGTCAGATAAAATAAAATGTCCAAAAATAATTAAAAATCATTTTTTTAAATAATTGCACTATTTTTAATGTATTAGATTGAAATTAATATCTGAAAGCAAGTCAATTCATAACCTATACTAATATTATAAAGAGGTAAAGTTTGTGAGTTTGTGAAATTGTGAGTTTGTGACGTTGTAGGTGGTAATCTCTGAATCTACTAAACCGATTTAGATAAAATTTGGTAAGAAGATAGTTTGGGACCCTGAGAAGGACATAGGATACTTTTTATCCCGGAAATCATCCTTTAAGGAGGTGAAAATGAGGATGAAAATTTGTATTGGGAAGCAACCTAGGGACGAGCGAAGCGAGGGTGAGTCACTAGTTAATAATAATTTAAAAAAATCATTTCATTTTTATACTATACAGGCTTGACGGTAGACATGAACCGCAAGATAAAACTATATGTCTATATTATTTATTATTACTATTATTAACAAATAATTTGACGACACGTTTACACTTTAAATAGATCATTAAAATTGTAGCTATGTATCTTTCCAAGAGAATCGAATTGGCATCATTTTTAATATCGCTAACATACACTAATTGGGTAAATAAATATAAATATGTTAGGACATTAACACACAGCACCATCTAGTTCCATGGTAAGCTGCGAGACCTGTGTTATGGAAACCAGATAGTTGATACACTACACATATATAACTTTAAATATATACATATTATAAATATAAACACCCATGACTGGAGTACAAACATTCGTCATCACACAAATGAATGCCCCCAGCGGGACTCGAACCCGCGACTGCTGGCACAGTAAGTAGGATCACTACAAACTGAGCCAAACGTGTCGTCATCCAGGTAAGACGACACTCTATCGTTATTGCTATAGCAATTAATAGAAAAATGTTAAAGTATGGAGATGACATATCTAAATATTATATCCCGTGTCGATAAAGTCCTTCTCATTTAGTTTTCTATTTTATGCTATTTAAGAATCAAATAATTTTAATATAACTTATATGTTAGTACATTCAGACAATTGTAAGCTTTATTTAATAAAACAAAAGATCTATATTCACCTGCACATAGTCTCATTGTAGGACGATTTAGGCAAGTGTTCTAACACTGTGATGTTGAAGTCTGTCAGTGTATGATTCACATACTGATCTAATGAGCCGTTCGTGAAGCGGTACACTAGACGAGGTATGAACTCCGATGTGAAAGCTATGATGAAACCCTGGAAAATGTAGAAAATTGGTTAATATTTTGTCAGTTATATTGTGTAATACTTTCTTAGATTTACGCGAATACTTGACATTTTAAATAAAACTATCTTTTCGGATTTTTTCGCGAATTTATTTTGATTTTTGGTTTCCGACGTTTTTATTTAAAAAGTTATATTATATTTCAGCCTTTTTTAATGTCACAGCTGGGCAAGGGCCTCCCTTCAATGCGAGGGGATCAAGCCATAGTCCACCGCGCTTGCCAAGTGCGGGCGGACTAAGCATGTCTTTCGAGAACTTGCTAGGTTCTCTCAGACATGCAGGTTTTATCACGATGTTTTCCTTCACCGTTAAGACAAGTGGCAATAATGTTGGGAATGATTCGCACATGAAAATATCACAGGTGCGAGACCCGGGATTTGAACTCGCTTCACTCGGTTTCCCAAGCGAGCGCGTTACCACTGGGCTACCTCTGCCTTTAAAAGATACTTACATTAGTTATAATACTGAGTTTCCCAATAGAGTCCAATATGCGATACCACACGCCTATATCGTTGACTCTCTGCGGCACCGGGCGGCGGTAGCAGGTGAGGAACTTCTTAGCATCGAGGCGCATTTCCAGCACGTTGTTGATTAGCGCGAACAGCGGTGCGAGGGGGAAAGCCGCTACGAAGATCGTTACGAAGCCGTATTGGAGGACTGAAAAGGATAAATGATTGATAAATCATGTTTATTTGGAAACAAAAATAGCATTTATACCTAGCCCTCACTCGCCCACTTAACTGGCGTACGAAAATGTTTCTTTTGATTTTCAGAGACCTTAATGTATATTTAGGTTTTTTCGCTTACAAATTAATTCATTTTAAATAAAATTATTTTTATGGATTTTTGGCGGATTTATTTAAATTTTTAATTCCTTATGTTTTAGACTAAGGTTTTTATATATTGACCATTGAGATGTCTTAAATGATTGCTATAAGCCATTCGAAACGTCGTCAACTAAAAATCTAAATAAAACCGCAAAAAAATTTAAAAAAAAGTTTTATTTGAAATTTCAAATAAATATACGGGTAAATATATAAGAAAGTATTAAGTAAGACATATTTATTATTGTTTTGAGTCTGTACTTACCCATTTCTAAATATTCAGGAAACAATCCCATATTGCCGAAGTCGACCAACTTAAAGTCCTTCACCCACTGCATTGGGCTTTTTATTCTGGAAAATGAGGGCATATACTTTAATAATAAAAAAATCTAACCTAAATTATTAAAATCGTTTGCTCCTTTGCCCCATTTTTCTATTAAAAAAATAACACAAGATTTATTTAATTCTTTTTTTTTTAATACATAGTACGAAATGCAAAAACATCGTCAAACTACATTTTTAATTAATACTTTAGAAATACAGTAAAAATGTAGAATATATATTAACAAAAAAGCTCTACAGATTGAGAGCCTGTTAAAGGTCGATGAAGAACAAGCTTTTAAGACTACTCATTATTACGAACCTTAAATGGATCAAAAAAGTACTAGATACACAATCAGCGTAAAAAAATGTCCTCGCCGAATTAACGCTCATTTGATCATTTGAGCGCGCTCTAATTTTTTATTTTTTTTTGAGAAAACAACATTAAGCATTGCATTTAAGGTTCAATTTACATTGTTGTATATTTATTTCAACTAGAATAATTACCTAAACACAATCAGTGACAGTTTTAAGAGTCCTTCTGTAAGGGATTGTGTATCTAGAACTTTTTTGATCGATAGAACCTTAAGAATAAAGTAAGCGTATGGTTGCCATGATGTTATTGTAGCCAATAGCAGTATTTTCTATAGTAATATACTTAGCTGAAGAATTCGTTTGTTTGATGGTTTGTCTTGTGAATATCTTAAAATATCGGTCATATTTTTTTTTGCTTTTATAATTTACTAGCAGTACCCGCGGCTTCACCCACAAACTTTTTATCGATACCAAACTTAACAATATTTATTCCAAAAAAATAAATAGGGCCACATAAATAAAATACTCACGTTTTCCTTCTACCAATAGTTCGTAAAATGTTCCACCATTTGAGGAAATATGGCATCATCATCTCTACGATGGTATTTATAAACTGCTTGCCGACCATGATGATAGCTAACTGGATGGATAACTCAAGAAGACAACCCCCAGGAGAACACTGAAAACATATAATTTCATACAAAACGTGTACTTTAATTAACATTGACCTTTTTTTTTTAATCGACTTCTTCAAAAAGGAGGAGGTTTTCAATTCGGCTGTATTTAATGTTTGTTACCTCAGAATTTCATCATTTACTAACCAATTTATCTTTTTTTCAAATCTATACTTATTATAAAAATAAGTCCCCCGGCCGCGTCTTTCTGTCCTCCTGTCTGTCTGTACGCGATAAACTCGAAAACTACTGAACGGATTTTTATACGGTTTTCAACAATAGAAAGAGTAATTCTTGAGGAAGGTTTAGGTATATAATTTATTATGCTTTTATGTAAATTAGCTGAAATACGGCGACAAATGTTGAAGAGGTCGCAAAAAATCTCGCCAAATGGGAACTTTCCACGCGAACGCCGCGTAAACTAGCAAAGATACAGTTAAGTAATGTACTAGAGAATTCAAAATCTATAAAAATGCTACAAAAAAGTCCGCGATAGCATATCTCTATCTCTTACGGTTGACTTACAATAACCACTTTTATGTTAACATTTTTAATTAAAAACATTACGTTATTTTCAAAGTTATTTTCTTTAGTTCGGTATTAATCCTTATCCAAATGAATATTTTAGTTAGCTTAGTCATTTAATGCAGATTAAAATTGCTCTTTACACTAAATCAATCAGATGAATAGTTTTTGAGATATCGTTGTTAGAAGTAATTAGTAGCGAAACATTTTTAATGCTTGGCGAGCATTGAGATGCCTACGGCGAGTCCATCCCCTCTGCCCCGCATCGCTCGACCGCCTGCTCAAGCTATATAAACCGGGCGATGTAGCGCGCGATCCTAGGATACTTTTTACCGCGGGAAAATATCTTATTTCTGAGGAAAAATACAAAAACTGCAATGTAAGAGTATACTAATATGTAACACCTAAGAATTTAGTTTTTGGTCATCTGAACGCGGGCGGAGCCGCGGGCAATGCTAGTTAAATATAAAATTTTGGGAATTGATTTTAAAAATGTTTAAACATAATTTATAAAACCTTAATATATCTCTAAGATTAAGTTATGTAAATAAGTTTTTAAAATCACTCTAAAAAGTAACATGAGAATTTGAGTGTTATCAAGATTTTCCCTTCAATAAAACATGTTCCTTCCCAAAGTTCTTTATTTAACCTAAATATTCAATTTGCAAGGAAAAAACCTAAATATACAATCAAGTCTCTGAAGCCCAAAGAAACATTTACATACATACAGAAAAACAGGCGATTTTTAAAGATTTTTAAATTTTTTCGGTTGCAAAAATATATGTAACATATGTATAATAAAATTGTAACCAAGCCGAATTTGTAAATTAAATATTTTTTGGAAAATCTTATTAAAATAGACTTTATTATCGATACAGAGACCGAATCTATAGTTTTTAGACTTTTTGTCTGTCTATCCAGCTGTCTGGGACCGCATCACGGAAAAATCACTGGAGGGATTTTGATGAAATTTGGTATGATGATAGCTGGTTATCCGGATAACATATAGGATACTTTTTAATGCGGGAAAATATCTCATCTCTGAGAAATCTATACTAAACGTTAAAAGGTAACCAGGGACGAACCCAAGCGTAGCGAGGGTGGGTCACTAGTTAGATATAATATTTACCTCTTCTTGCCTATGTCCAAAGAACCTTACATAGTCCCCGGGGCGACCCACAAACTTGCCTTTGAAGAACGCTATGTAGAATATAGACGCGTAATAGTTCACGAATTGCAGGAGGTAGATTTTGAGGGTGAGAGAATCGTCGAACTCGGTTTGTGTTCGCAATAGTTCCTTTTCCGTGAGCCATTCCGCGAGAAATTGGTAGATCTGAAAGGGAAAATATATAATTATATTGTCATAAAATGATTATTCTTGTTGATGGAAATGTGTGGAATTGAAATATATTGACATAATTTATGTGGGCCAACTATAATTTTATGTTAATAAAATAAATAAAATGTAACTTGACATTTAAAATAGCAATTGTTGAGTTTCTCGCCGGCTCTTCTCAGCAGAACTGCTTTCCGAGCCGGTGGTAGGTTCTTCACGGGCGTTCCTTATATATTTGTAAATTGACTCTAACATAAATTAGCACTTTTGAGCTTCATATTGAACAAAAGGATCCCTTAATCGAAAAATTGTTTTCATGAATCCGCAATATTTTCGAAAGACCTATCCAACGATACCCCACACCATAGGGTAGACGAGAAAAAAAAACATCCTCACTTTACGTGTAGAGGAGGTACCTTAAATGTTTTTTTTTTTCAAAATTTTATTTTACCCCTTTGTCAGCGTAACTAATATGTATATCCATGCCAAATTACAGCTTTCTAGTACTAAGAGTCTCTAAGCTAAGCTGCGGACAGACAGACGGACATAGTGGAACCATAAGGGTTCCCTATTGACTACGGAGCCCTAAAAAAGCACTTACATAACTAAACATGCAGATGAAAAACAAATTGATATACGCTTCCGTGGCCGTTGTAAGCATGACAGGGATGTATGTTATCAGGACGTTCTCCAATTCTCCTGCTGGTCCAAGATGGCAACGCCCTGCAACGACATCTGGTAAACTCCTATGATTGAGGCTAATGCGAGCAGAATCAGTAGTGCCACATTAACATCACGTCACATATACCAAAGTGGCACCATTGACGAAAATGACCAATTTTACCAAGTATATGCCATAAATAAAAAAGCACTTACATAATTAAATATACAGATGAAAACCAAATTGATACACGCAGCCGTGGCCGTAGTGAACATGATCGGGCTGTACGTTATCAGGACGTTCTCCTGCTGGCGCAAGATGGCGGCGCCCAACAACGACATCCGGTACAACACGACGCCCAGCACCGTGGCCAGCGCGAGCAGGATCAGTAGTGCCACAATACTGAACGACATCAGCGTCGCGGGCAACCGCATCCGCCAAAATGGCACCATAGGCTCTCTTTCTCCTGTCACTACATTCAACTGTGGATAAAATGTATTATATATTAATTTAAACTCCAAAAAACACAAACCGTCTCTAAAGAACCGACAGAACTTTTAAAGTAATAATTCCACTTCTAAGGATAGTTTTTTGCACCCTTGACATATTTATATAAAATAATACCTAATGAAAATAATTTACTATTGCAGATGGCGTCTTAGCATAAAAAACCAAATCTTATTAATATTTATTTTCGTAACTCATCTGGAAAAATGTGTACGTGTTATTGTTATTGACCAAGCAAGGGAAGGGAGTGAAGCGTCTCTCTAAGTCTGGCTAAATTTGCTTTCCCCTGTCAGTTTGTTGGTACTCCTCTACAGGTCGTATTTTACAACGATCTGGACGAAGCTTGGTATACAGATTTAGATTTTTACAACATTATATATTTTTTTTGTCGTCGCAGATTTTTGATTGGAGGGTACTTCCTCCAAAAAGGTGCAAAAAGAGGGCTACTGGATATCTCTACCTTATGAGATCCGATTTCGATGATTTTTTTTTATTTGAAAGGTACTAACTTAAAGTTGGGCTCATAAAAATTTGGTAAAGATCAGATGAGGATCTTCAGCTCGATGAGCAGAATAGATCCTCAAAAATCAGTAAATTGCTCACATAACTTTAATGGTATATTAAATGTTGCCAAAAAAGTTTGTTCTCCCGAGGTCTACTGTTCGCAGAACTGCGAGTACTAGTTACTAATTATTTTCTATTATGTATTAAAAAAACAAAAGCTATAATTATTTTACATTTAATCAGAATCTTTTTTAAGGAAACTGTATGTAAACAATGGTGCACTCATCAAACGGATTAAAAGTCAAAATAATTAACTTTAATTATACTTTTTGCCAGCTGTTATTTACATAAATTCTTACTGTTATATAAACAACATTGTTGTAAAAAGAAACAAGTATAAACAGTACACATTTTTGAAATGTCATCTAATATATAAAAATCTCCTGTCACGTTGTTTATGGTCGACTCCTCTGAAACGGCTTGACCGATTTTAATGATTTTTCTTTATGTTTGGCCGTAAAGTATTTTTCTAATTTGTTAGTTGGTGTTGGTTTGGTTATGCATTAAATTGTTCTTCACTCCATATTAGTTTCCAGACACTCTGAGTCTAACAAAAACAATTTTTCAAACGATCTCGGAAACTTCTTATTTTGCGAAAAATAAAGTAACCGATATGATGACATTTGTAAAACAAATCACAAAAAAGTCCTTTTTCCCAAAAATTCTTATGATATCAAATGAACAATTCTTGTATATGTACGTATAAATTTATTTCGTGTATATCGAAAACGGCATTAATTTGAATCAAATTTTGTATTTAGATAAGATTTTGCTTTTTAAATTTATCTATATGCGGTGTCTTTTCAAAAAAACGCATTTTTCACATCTTTCATCTCATTTATTCTATCTGCTCTCATCGTGACAATGTCATATAGCGCCATCTCGTAAGGGTTAATGGTACATGCATTATCACCGATGAATGATAACTCACTGAACGAGCGCCTACGCCGAGCCAAACTTGGTAGCCCAGGTAATATAATAGGGAATATGCGTTTATTTTAAATAAAGGTGAAATATTTTTTTTATAATCTTTACTGCTTTTCGATTAAGCCTATATTAATAATTTTTAATGTAATTTTGTTTTTGATAAAAAAAAATTAAAAGGTGCAAATATAGGAGGGAAATTCAAATTAGTTGAAACGCACGCCATTGGTCAGACCGAATATGACGCCAGAGTATATCATAAGTCATAACAGAGCGATTAGCGATTTTGTCGCTACAAACTAAAGTCGTCAGTTTTGTATGTATGATACTGTGACGTCACGCCAAGCGCGTGAAATGGCGGGCGCTTAAAGTATCCGTATCGGTAAATTTTTAATTTTTTTATACTAAGTTTTAGTTTTTTACAGCTGGATATTTTTTTACAATAATATAACGATATTAGCTATTGTATAAAAAAATTTAAAAAAATCACGCATATTCCCTATTACATATACCAATCTAGAGACGCTAAAGTCACTAATTTATAAATATTTACACGATTACTAACCTGTGTCCTTTTAACATGCGCAAGTCTCGCTAAGTACTGCGGCCGAGGGTGCTCCTCGTACACGTCGAAACCCGTTAGATCCCAACGATGCGTCATCTCCGCCGAATATCTCTTCCAGAGTTCCAGAAAACACGACCCTTTTTATGAAAAAATATATACTAAATTAATTTACTGTAATACGTTTACTGTTACTAAAGTAAATAAATAAATAAGAAAAAAATCGCCCAAGAAAGCATATGGAAAAGAAATCCGTTTAAGCTGATAACCAATGGATTCGTTTTTTTTGTAATTTAGTAGTGTTATAATTTAAAAAAATATAACATTGTAATATGTCTCCAAAATATTACTAAATTCAGAAATTTCCACCAATACCAGTTATTACAAATCCAACTCTAAAGAAACGTAAAAATATACTAAGAAGAAAAAAAGGCATAAAATATGGGCACGGTCTCCTTTCAAGACAAGTAGAACCAACCACCACGCTGGCCAAGTGCGGGTTGGCAGACTTCACGTCTTTGGAAAAGAAACAACAGTTTAAAAATATATAATTATAATCTATATAAATAAATATAATTAGTGTCTGTTTGTAATGTCAAAATAACAACTTTTTACTAAATGCATATGAAAGTACATATATACGGTATATATTATAAGAAAAATACAATTAAAAATAAAATCTCTATCTGTATGTTTGTTCGGGCTAATCTCTGAAACGGCTGGACCGATTTTAACGGGACTTTCACTGGCAGATATCTGATGTAACATGTAATAATGTAATGAAGAAGTAACTTAGGCTACTTTTATTTTAGAAAAAGAATTTCTGAATGAAAAAGTATGAAACTTAGGATTCCGCTCAAAAAAATTAAAACGTACCTAGGAAAGTACTCGAGCGAAGCCAGGGCTAATCGCTAGCAAAACGTATAAAATAAACTCACCCCAAAAGCTCATAAATATAGCGAAGAACACCGTGGTGGGGTTGTCGAAGAGGTATGTTATCCGCGACTGCAGGCAGGTCGCGCGCAGGTCCCAGAAGTCGCAGTAATAATCGCATTGTGGACACATCTTTATGGACGCGTTGTAGTTGCATATGTCTTCACTGTTGATACAAAATAACACGTTAGAAATTAAAAAAAAAATGTTATATATAATATTAAGTGATCAATTCTTGTATGTTTAATGTTTAGACATATATAAATTTATTTTGTGTATTTTGAAAGCGGCTCCAAATGATCAAATTTTGTAATAATTTTGCTTTTTAATTTTATCTATACACGTACGTGTCTTTCCTGAAAAAAGACAATTTTTCACAAAAAAAAAATCATTTTTTATAACTAATTATTTTTCTATCTGCTCTGACGCTGACAATGTCATATAACATCATCTCGTAAATATTTTCGCTACAAACACGCACTGCTCTATAATCTGAGCGAGAAATGGCTGGTCATATAAAAATGCTTCCTTACCTTGGCTTATTCGAGAACACCGTAGCAGCTGAGTATATGACACAAATGAGTCCAACCACAGACGCGGGAATCAACATGTGAGTGTAGAAGCCGAGCCACGCGAAATACAAACCTGAACATATAAAAATAAACAACAATATGGAATGCGGGAAATATTATATTTTTTTGTAATCTTTATCGTTTATATTTTTTAATATAATTTCTTTTTGATTAATAAAATAATTATTAAAAAGTACAAATATAGGTGGGAAATTCAATGTAGTTGAAACGCACGCCATTGGTCAGACCGATTAAGTCATCAAAATATTATCATAACAGAGCGATTTTTTTTATAATAAATTTGTTTTTTTAGAGCTTGATAATATTTTTACTATTATATAGAGATTTTAGCTATTGTATAAAAAATAAAAAAATCACGCATATTCCCTATAAGACTATAAATGCTTCTAAATCTCATTGTCTTTGAAGAAGTAGTAGTAGGGAGCTAATGCTTGAAAGGGTTTTGATAAACACAAAAGAATGTGGTATTATTTTTACTATCTATTTTTACTCACATTTCTTTTCAAAAATTGACGACACGTTTGGATCAGTTTGTAGCGGGGTTCAAATCCCGCTGGGATTCATATGTGTAATGAGCACGAATGTTTGTACTCCAGTCATGGATGTTTATATTTATTATATGTATGTATTTAAAGTCATATATGTGTAGTGTATCAACTATCTAGTATCCATAACATAAGCCTCGTAGCTTATCATAGAACTAGATGGTACTGTGTGTGTTAATGTCCCAACATATTTATTTATTGTAAATTAACAACTTTAATATCTATTCTAATATTATAAACAGGAAAAATTTGCTTTTTTTGTTTGTTTGTATTGAAAGAACTACGAAACTACTGAAACGATTTAGATGAAATTTGGTAAGAAAATAGTTTGAGACCCTGGGAAGGATATAGGATAGGTTTTATCCCGGAAATTATCCCTTACGAGGGTGAAAATAGGGGTGAAATTTGTATGGGGACGCAAACTAGGGACGAACCAGAGTGAAGAGTCGCTAGTTCTTTATTGAAAGTGAAATGATCTGTGTCGTAAAATCGAGAATAGTCGAGAATAGTAGCGTAAACAGTCAAATCACGTTACTATTGTTGACAATTTCAGCGAGCTCCGTCTTTATAACTCTCCAGTCTCGAGTGCAATACATATATAATTTGCTGTCATTTAAATAAACTTCCGTTAAAGGGGAGATGGGAAGGCAATGGGTGACCCCATATAGTGATGCTCAACTAATATTTGACTGTCACAATAACAGATAGCAAGTACAATTTATTAGTGTTTTTTGAATACACATCTATTACCATTACTTATAATCTATACGTATAATAAAATTGTAACCAAGCCGAATCTGTACATTAAATATTTTTTGGAAAATCTTATTGAATTAATCATTATTATCGATACAGAGGCCGAATATATAGTTTTTAAGATTTTTGTCTGTCTGTCTGTCTTTCTGTCTGTCTGTCTGTCTCTGATCGCATCACGGAAAACCCACTGAACAGATTTTAATGAAATTTGGTATGATGATAGCGTATTGATTATCCGGATCAACATATAGGATACTTTTTACCGCGGGAAAATATCTCATTTCTCAGAAATCTATACTAACCGTAAAAACGTAAGTAGGAACGAACCCGAGCGGAACGAGGGTGACTCGCTAGTTGTGTAATAAACCTTTATCGACAACATAATGCCCTTTATTGCACATTAATATAATAGAAACAGTACAGAGACCAGTATGGTTAAAGGCGGATATAACTAACTTATCTACTATTGATAACGTCTACCCTAGGCTCATTTTGGACTTGTTTTGGAGTTCTATAATTAGTCAGTTAAAATATTATTTTTTTACTGTAATTTTATTTTAATTACGTGATTAATTTTAAGGATTTTAATGGAAAGTAACATTTAAAATCATTTTTATGATTATTTTTTTCTTCTTCAATACATACCAATTTTAACGCCAAAATAGTCTTTTACATAGTCTAGGGGTTGATATTTGAGACACTTGGACACGCTCGCCCATTCTGTATAAAGCAGATGGCGCATCGAGCCCGGCGTTTTGAGATCACCCTGTACATAAAATAAAAAAAAATTATATGCAAAAAAATCCTGTAAATAAACCAAAAATATAATACATATATTTTTTTAATTTGATAATTTACAAACTCTGTAGAGTTAGCCAGAAGAGATTAAATCTTACTCGGTTACGGATACCGGTTTTATTTTCTTTAGAAAATATAGTAAGTATAGTCAATTTTTTTGAATTTAATACGTAATGATGTAAATCTGTCCTGTTATTCATTGTAATGCAAACATTTAAAAAACGTAATTTCTAAATTATTTAATACAAATATAGTGTAGCAGTTCGACGTAAAAATATAAAATTATAGTACAACGCCAACAATCTCATTTACATTTATTTATAGGTAAGCACTTATCTATATACCCAAATATTCATTTTGAGCAAAATAAAACCCACAATGGCCTCCATTTTGCTTTACCATCGTCAATTTAAACAAACATAAATTAAAAAAGAAACCCTTGTTATACTTACGTCGTGTAAAGGATAGGCCGCACTATAAGTATTGTTGGAGATCAAGCGAGTTATTCCGAAGGCGAAGTCGTCACTGGGTGACATCGAAAACTTCTTACGGTCTAATATAAATTGAACTATACGCGAACGAATCGAGGGTGTCCAAAAACACTCTGCTGACGTGTCAAATCTATAAATAAAATATAAAGCTCAGAGTAAGGAATAATATAGACAATGTCATAGAACTAAACATAAAGCCGAAGTTTTAAATTGTTTAACTTTATATATGAAGTACTAGCGGCTCACACTCGCTTCGCTCAGGTTCGCCTCTAGAAAAAGAAAAACAAATCTAAATTCATTCAGTAGTTTTTGCGTAAAAGAGTACCAAACATACATACATTCTTACAAACTTTCGCGTTTATTTATAATATTCGTAACCAAATTAGTAAAGTAAAAGTACCAATATTAGTAGGATATAGAAATGCGTTTCTTTTCGCATCGTGCACACGAAATGAGATCAAGTTGCTATAAATATGTAAAAACTAAAACAAAAATTACATACAAATATTCTTTGTCCTTCGAATAAATCGCCGTCAACCGATGCTTCCTCTCCGGGAACATGGCGGGATCAACTCTAATTTTAGACATAATTTGATTCCAAAACTCTTCTAATTTATCCAAAAAACTATTCGTTTTTTCGTGCACATCTTTTAAAGCTGAAAACTGAAAAATCATAATAATAAAATGAAAAAAAATATCAAAATTTATAATGTTCAAAGGTAATTTTTCAAATCGTTTGTTGTTAGTAAATATATGAGGATAAGTTCTACTTTGTGATGATTTTGAAAAGAAACGACGAAATTGACGTAATAAATTAGCCTCTGGAGAATAGAAAATATAATATATTGAGTCACATTAGAGTTTAGGAAAAATTAGATCATACACCAAACATTTGCATGCAAAAAATATTTTATAGATATATAGAAAAATAAAATAAAAAGTGTAGGAAACGAAGACTGTAAGGGGGTTAATAATAAATATATGTATAGGTATTTTTTTTATTTGCATTCATTTTTTTTAATGAAATTTGCTATGGCAGCAATGATATGGCAGCTTCGAACCCTACGTTACGTACTTCCACTTCAAATTTCTGTTAAAATTTTTAATCTACAGTTAAGTAACTAATTTAAGCCAACAACTCATTATTATTATTTTACACAAAATCCGACTTCAAAACAACTTATAAAACTGTTATGCCCCCCATAAGAGTTATTTTTTTCTTTAAATTATGACATTCTGTAAAAAAAGGTTATTTATAAAAAAAAAACATGGATATAGAAATCACGTTCATATACTGTTTAAATTCGAACCAAGTCTTTTTGAAGTCGAAAAATAATTATAAAAATTACTGCCCATAATAATATATGAATCATACCTACACAAGCTGCGGAGCTACACTTTACTAACAGTTCGGCCCACTACGATTTCAAGCAAATAAAAAATTGCATTCATAGAAATTACTTACATAATATCCACGTTATTCATGCATACCTAGATATTATATGTATGAAGTGTATAGTAATTACCCGACTAAGCCTCCAGAAGAACGACAATCGCTGACATCTACTCGTTTGTTTTAGCATGCACTAAATCCTTAATACAACTACAGTATAAATCAGAGAAGAGCAAAAATATTAATGGAGTAAATATATATATTAAGGTATTTTGTTATATATTTTTTAACTTGTTAACTAAACCATCTGAAACAATAAGTACCGACAACCAACGACTTCAAGATGAAAATTCCATTAGAGTGAATATAGCGACTGTTATAGCATAAAAAAATAACCCTGCAAATGACAAAAAGTTTGAAGACATACAGATCAAGTTGAACACAAGACAATTGCCACACATTAAATAGATTTGTATCTATTTACATCATTTGAAAGTCTACAGACTATTTAAAACGTATTTTTTAATATTTTTTATTGATCTTTTATCTACCAAACAAGCAAATCCAAGTTTTTTTTATATGAAAAAGCAGTTCTAAGTGTTATTTATTAAAAAAATATATATATATATTATTTAATATCACAACTTGTCAAAGTATAACACCTTATCTTTTAGGATTATAATTAATCTTTAAAAAAATATTATCAAAAATTGATTTGTTGACATAGTGATTTATCACTTCGTATAAAAATACATATACGTAAATATGTATAAAACAAAATAATTATTAAATAGCTATTATTAGATATAATTGTACAAAAGATGTGGCAGCTCTGATTTTTTTATATCTGTATATCCCCAAAACACCCCAAAAAACACCAAAAGCTACATTGTTAGCAAAGCAGTACGTCCGTAGTCACGACAGCCGCATACCTTAGACATATACATCGCAGCATTCAGTATGGCGTTCGTCCGCCCACCTTTTCGTATCTTACTGCATTCCTACGAATACATACTATTAAACATACTGTGCTTTGTGACTTCACTAACATTTTCACACACACAAGGCACAAAGTGCAAAACAGAAGCCGTGGTAGTGTGTGTGTTTTTTTTTAAATTATTGATTGATATATTTTAGATAATTAAAGTAAATTTGGAATATGTAGCCAATAAATATTTATTTCTTATTAATATACTTTTTTTTTAATATATTTATTTTATGAATAGGGTAATTATAAAGGATTTTGTGCAATATAAAATATTATAAATAAATATATAGGGCAAGGATTATAAATAGTTTCATCGCAGATAAATAAAAAAAATACGTAATAATAGATAACATATACATACATATATTAATTTTAAAAAGCTGGACCATTTAAAATCTAAAGTTATAACTATATTAGCTTCACAATTACGTATACTTCTATACAGTGCTCTAAACACACAGATTATATCACGAAATCTAATTTGAAAAGTATCCCAAAATTATCACATCTTAAAGAGTTACATATAGATTTTTTAGAATTTTCACTCACCTTCATTGGCATCCTAAGTTTAAGGACCTCGCTGTAATCTTTTAAAACATTTAGTGGCGCATGAATCTGAAAATTAACAAAATTGAATTTATTTTGTTTGAGACTGTTTTTTATTCGACCTTCTTTTTCAATACATACGTTACAAAATAAAAAAAGAAAAAAAAACCGATCTGATTTTTTCTTTATCCCATTTTACTCTAAAAGGTTATATTTTATTAAAAATAATCGTTCAGTATTACTTCCTACTCTTCCTACTTCCTTTTTTGATATCGCTGGGAAAACCCATGATGAGGTCCCAGCCGGTCGTCATTGGGTAGGAAACGGTGAGTTTAATTCACTGACAGCGGAACCCTATTGCCGCAGATAATTGGGCTTTGCACTGGCTCCTTCCTTTACCAAATATCAAAATCAATCCAGCTCATTTTATTATTAATTTAATATGAATTAGACAGACAAACAGAAAGACATTTATTCTACTAGTACTAGCTATTATTAATATAAGTAAACTCTACAAGTCTTCAAAGTAATGCAAAACCAACCTTGATAAAGTTCAATCCATACATATCCTCCGGAGCTTCTCTTTCGAGCTGCAAGCCCTCATTCTCCAGATTTTGCTCGAATATTTGTCTATGTGCATACGCCTCTGGCGTCGTCGCGTCATCTTTCCCAGACTCCCATACAAGTACGAAATCGACAGATCGAACACCATCGTTGAAAGACAACGATGGGTTATTTAATATACCACCCATAACTATCCTATAAAAACAATTTTCCATTACAAATTACATGCGTTTGTTATAATAAAAATATAATATGTACATATACATACATATTTATAGTATATAGATTATAGATAATTAAGTATTTAGTTTGAAAAATTTAAACATGCATAGTGTAATAAACCTCATACAACCGAATAATTATATTTTGGTAAAAAAAAATACTTTCTGTCACCACACCTAAACCCTGAGAAAATATAAACAAAGCGGGCATGTCATCAGCAGAATGCAATACCAAATAAACAATACAGACATTTGTATGAAGACAATGCGTATAGAAAATATGAGAAAAAGGCATTTACCTATTCTTTCACGAATACTCATGCCGTAACGTAGTAAATATTTAATAATTTCATTAAAGCTTAACAATTACGATTATTTGCTATAAAATATATAACAAATAATTATGTAATAGACATTTATCTAATCTTGCAACAGCAGACTAATCTATATGTACATTTATTTTATGAATTGTTGACTTCATGAATTATATAAAATATATATGTATATATATTTCAGCACCTACTAGTAAGACATTTTGTTTTGAGTAACTTCTATATATAAATAAAAGTGTAATGCTGTACGTTGGTAATCGCATCACTTGCTAAAACTGGACCAATTTGGGTATTTCTTATTTTTAATGATCGTAATATATAAATTAAGGTTTTTAAGAGGAAAAAAAATTGAACAGTTACTCGGAAAATTAGAAAATTCAGGATAATCTAAAAATTCTTTTTTGTATAGATTTTTTTATGTAGTGAAAGATCAAACTACAGGCTCTAACGTATACGAAAAACGTATTGAACAAAAAATATTAATATTTTTATGGCCTACAACTTTTGTGTGAAACATTTTTCTCTAAAATCAATATTTATAACCGCGAAATTATTATAAAAAATATTATTAAGTATATAAATATTATTTAAAATATTATATATAAATATCAACGCGAAAAACATAATAAAAAAATGTATTTTTTTTTAGATTTGGCCTTGAATATAAAAATTTGCGGGTATTTACACGTTCGTTATCAGCGTGTCAAATTCCATATGTATACCAAAATCCAGTTTAATCGAAGATATGAGCTATTCGGAAGTACATACAGCCTTCTATTTTTATAAAAATCGAACATTACATTATCATTTATCCATAGCTAAAATTAGAACCAAAACACATGGAGAACCTCCAATACTTAATTAAAATTTCCTTGCTGGGTGCATCAAACTAAAATTTACTAACTTGTGCGTTACGTGCAATCGTTTTATATTACGAATATCTATGTAATATGATCTGTAAAGATATATATTACGTTTCATTTCCTACGTACAGTACCTACTTATTTAGTTTTATTAACTAAAGTGGATGTAAACAGAGCTTTATCTTCAGTGTTAGAAAAATTACTTTTAATACTTACAAATGTATATGCGTGGATATAATTAATACTAATGGAAAGTTTAACTCTACTGATTTAAAAAAAATCCATTATAGCTTTTATATTAGAAAAAAAGTTTATATATTTAATAATGATTATTTTTATTTATAGAATCATAAACGGGACAGAACCTTTGTGATACCTGCCGCCTTTTTTTTCTTAGCTATTATATATATGAATAAGGTACTTAAAAAAAAGTATCACGTTTCCTGGATATTTGGAGACATATCCAACACAAGTTTCACCGTGCGCAGTTTTTTTGAAAAAAAAAATAGTGTCAGCTTCCATAGAAAATCGTCCGATTTATTTTCATACATATTTGTGGTGCAAAGGCTATATACGTGTCCACTACTCACGAGCAATGGTTGGCCATGGCTTTTCCATTATTATTGATGGGGTCTGGAACAGCCTCCCCACATCCACACTCTTCCGCCGGACGAGTGGATGCTTCGCTGCCATTGTCCCTGTAAAGTTAGTTGTGGACACGCTGCTATACGACTTGTAACCATTAGAGGTTAGTAATGTTCTACGAGTTAGTGGGTTAGGTACTCTTAGGGTAAATAGATAGATTTTGTAGCATTATATTGAATATTTAGATTTTATTATAAATATTATATATTATGATATAATAACAACACTACATATTAAGGTATTAAAAACTCAGATACTCTCTACAAAAATAAGAAACACTAATCACATAATATGTATGTAGTTCATAAGAAGACCTTGTAACAATTACGATATATTGATTCTATTTGATTCGCGTCTGTTAATAGCAACTAGTTAGCTAAAATACATAAATTGAACATCAAGTTTATTTATCTAAAATATATAATGATTTTGTATAATGTGTAATAAATTATTGTTAAAAAACTGCCTAGTTTTAATAGAAAATTGTCAAATTATAATCATTATGTATTGTAAATAATTAATTCAATTTTCTTGTCAATGTCTTCGAAACGTGCAAGATGAGCACAGATTAGTTAGCCAATGTCACGTAGAATGGTATTATAATTATAGTAAAAAACTTTTTGTCTTCTCCATTCTACGTGACATTGGCGAAGTAAATTGTGCCCAACTGGCACTCCTAGAAGCCACGAAATAAAAGAATTGAATTGAAAAAACTTTTTGTAAAAAATATATTAAAAAAACAATCGACAGTGATTAGATTACCCGAATAGATGATTTACGGAGACTGCAGAGTGCAGTGTACTTACTAACAAAGTAACAGTTCTATTTATTTATTATCTGTGGATACTTTGATCTATACTTTTAATGAACAGTAAATACTAGCACTGATAACCTCATGCGTTTACTTGTAGGGATCAAGTCTCTCTCTGAGTGAGGATCTTCCGACATGCGTTTACGAAGAACACATCGATTCGAGAAAGTTTATATGTAGAGTTAATTTGACTGATATCGATATTCTATTGGATTAATTTGTAATGATAATAGATATATCCTAGATGATAAATATAGTGTACAGTATACATGCGAGTATCGCATACCTTCGATAAGTTAACATCACTAAGGCTTGACATGCACAACGTAGTTATATCAAATGGCGCTATCAAACGATAGTGATCGTCTAAATTCTAAAATTACGAGATAATTTTTATGCATCCAACCCCAGAACCGTTGCTCTGATTTTGCAATGTGACATGCGATGGTTAATAATGTATGTACAATTCGACACTAGCAAAGAACAACGTTGTAACTAATTATTGTAGTAATTGTTTTTTAATATTAATGAATAAAAGAAATTATTCTATTTTCAAACCATCTTAACGCTGAGTTACAATATTGTTCTTTGCAGATATCGAATTTTCGGTTAGAGACGAAATATTTCAACATTCAAAATTACTTAGTAAAAATAACTTTCGGCTAGCAACGAAACATTTCATCGCTCTCTCCGCTTTAAAAAACTTTTATTACTATATAAGATATCTTAATAATACCTAAATGTATGAACCCAATATTAAATTAATTTTCAAAGTGCGAAAACCACTCATCGCTTAACAAATGGATAGCGGCGCAAATTGATGACGTCGTCGTTTATCGACCACTAATGTATTAGAGAGGGTAATGCACTGATGATGAAGAAACAATTCATGTTACGAATATAACAGAATAAAGAACTATTTATAAAAATCTGTAACGTGTTTGATAAAATGACAAAACACTGCTTAATTTAAAATCACAACAATGCCTATTAATTTTAATGAACGTGTATTAGTCATTAAAATAATTAATGAACTAAAATGTCTATAGTGTTGTTACTATAGTTTATACGTATACTATTCAAAATACTTTTTATTTTTTAAATTTAAGAATATTATAAGAGATAGCAAATAAGCAATCTATATTTGGACGTAGTTATGCAAAAGTGGTCCAACCATAAAAACGTACATTTGAGAAAATAGTAGTTTTAGTAAAATTGGTATATCAAAATACCAAGACCGTCGTTTTTTTTTTTAAATTCCTCTTAAATATTGGGTGTTTTATCTATCTTATTTATACGTTGTACTTTGTAGGTGCCATTTATGACAGTAACTCAAAAAATGTTCGGGGGCTGGATCCATTTTGCATAACTACTTTCAAATATAGATTGTAATTACCATTTAAAATATTGTTTTTGGCCGCAGCTCCGCTCGCGTGGTAGAGAAATTGATAAAGGTAGGTAGGTAGGTAGTTATGTGTTAAACAAAATTATAAAATACTTGCCAAAATTTAATCAAATCTATTGAGTTGTTACAAATTTTTCCATTTATTAGTGTAACTAATAAATTACGTCCTTAGGTGTTTTTTTTTTGTACTTATAATAATATATTGTACGTAATATTATATACAGGCAACACATTTTGTTATTTTTTATTTGTTATTACTATCAGTACCCCCTTTGTTTAGTCTATCTATATACCAAATTTCATTCAAATCTGTCCAGCCGTTCCAGCGCGAAGGAGTAGCAAATATACACACGTATACAAATTTTAGTGTACACTATAGTGTAATTAATAAAGTAAGTTATTAATATTTAATAATCAAATCAAGCAATGTTGCATTATTTTAAAATTGAGATTCGAACAGCTTATACAGTCCACGACTCATTGAAATAATAAATACTTATTATTATTATTATAGCTTTATTTTCCCCATAACAATTTCTAATATCCATCCTTTATAAATTATTTCTTTTTCCATTTCTTTTGTTATGTGGCCCCTTGGTGGGTAAAAGCCTCCCCCATTCTTTTCCATCTTTCCCTGTCTTTGGCCTCATGCATCCAGTTTTTTCCTGCTGTGTTTATTATGTCATCGGCCCATCTTTTCTTCTGTCTTCCCACTTTTCTTTTGCCTTTTGGGCCCTGCCATTTAGTTGTTTGGTAGGTCCATCTCTTATCTTTGTATCTTGACAAGTGCCCTGCCCAGTTCCACTTCTGTTTCAAACTAAAATATAGAGCATCTGTTAATTTAGTTTTCATGCGGATGTCTGCGTTTTTTGTTTTTTGTATTTTTCTTAGTTTCAGTATACTTCGTTCCATTGCATGTTGACAAGATGAAATTTTGTTTTTTACTTTTTTAGTAAAGACCCATGTCTGACTAGCGTACGTTAAGCTTGGGAGAATGCAAGAATCCATTATTGTCTTTTTTATATTAAGGCTATAGTTCCCTTTTAAAATTTCTCTTTGGGCCCAGTATTTCTTCCAAGTTGTACTTATTCGCCTGTCTATTTCGTTTTCATTGCTATTTGCATCAAAGGACACCAATTTACCTAGGTACACATATTCATTTGTATATTCTATCGGTTTATCCTCTACTTTGATTGTTTTCTTTTGACTGTTTGACATAATTTTTGTTTTGGATGCGTTCATGTGTAGGCCGATTTCTTTGCTTTCAGAGTTTAATCTTTGTAGCATTGCTTCTAAATCTGTCGCGGATTCACTAAAAAGAACAATGTCATCTGCAAACCTTAGGTGTGTTAATTTATTATTAAATATCCATAGGCCTTTATTTTCCCAATTGATGTTTTTGAAAATGTCCTCAAGTACAGCTATGAATAGCTTTGGAGACAGCGGGTCTCCCTGCCGCACCCCTCTACCAATTCTGAACTCCTCCCCTTGTCTTTCCAATTTTACTCTACTTACACTTTTAGAATAGATGTTTTTTATGATATTTATATATGTTTTGTTTATATCATTCTTTCTTAGAGCAGTCCATATAGATGAATGTACTATGCTATCGAAAGCTTTGGAATAGTCCACAAAAGCTATGTAGAGTGGTTTATTGAATTCTTTAAATTTTTCTATTATTTGTTCTATTGTGTGAATGTGGTCTATTGTTGAGTAATGCGGCCGGAAGCCCGCTTGTTCTATTGGCTGATTTTTGTCAATATCTGGTGCTATTCTTCTTAGGATGATTGATGAAAAGAGTTTATATATTGTTGATAGTAAGCTGATAGGCCTGTAGTTGCTGATGTCGAGCGGGTTCCCTTTTTTATACAATAGTATTATGTTTGATTTACTCCATTGAGATGGTACTTGCTCTTTTACCAGTACTAAATTGAAGAGTTCTGCTAGGTATGTAGCCAGGATTGGCGCACCGATTTTCAGGGCTTCGTTTGTGATGTTATCTTCGCCTGGGCTTTTCTCGGGTTTTAATCTTTTGATTTGGGTCATTATTTCTCTTTCTGTTATTGGGTCTAATGGTTTTTCTGCTATATCTTCTGTTATATCCCTATTATCTTTTTCATCTTCTTGTGTTATATCATGTGGTGGTTTTTCATAGAGAGAAGTGTAGAAAGCCGTTGCACATTCTATTATACCATTTCTATCTTTGCTTTCCCCCTTGTCACTTTTCAGACTTTGTATCCAATTTTTGTGAGTAGATAGTTCTTTATAGGCTCTTTTTGAGCTACGGAAAGAAAACATATTTTTTTCTATAATTTCTCTTCTATGATTAGCATAATCTCTTCTGATAGATTTGTTGGTTTGTTTGAACAATTTCTTCAGTTTCTCTCTCATTTCTTTGGTCTTGTTCTTCGTGAACATAAGTTTAGTTCTTTTACAGATTAAATTATGTGTGTGTTTGCTAATGATCTTGTCTTTGTTTTTGTTTTTTGCTTTTTCATCCATTCTAAGACTTTTTGTGATAGCTTCTTCCAGTTTGTCACTAAAGGATTGTACATTCTTATTTTCCTTTAAAAATTCTTGCAATATTGGTAAGTTCTTTTTTAGGTTTTGTACGTAGTTGTTTTTCTCATGTGTGGAATTCAATTTGTTGGGCATGGTTTTGAATGTTCCTCGGCTAATTTTTGGTTGTTGAATTTTTATAGAGCATCTTAAAATCCTGTGATCAGATGGAAAGCTTATTTTGTTCAAAACTTCTACATTTATTACAGATTTTGGGTAAGGGCTCAGAATAAAGTCTATTTCATTTTTTGTTTTATGATCTGGTGATATCCATGTCCATTTTTTGGAACTTTTCTTCTTGAAATATGTGTTCATTACAGCCAGTTTATTCTCTTGTGCATATTGTATTAGGCGTTCACCTCTGGCATTCCTTATGCCGTAACCATATTTGCCCATTATAAGGTTTTCATGAGGTTTAGGTTGTCCAATTTTAGCGTTGAAGTCTCCGATGATTAACCTGTTTTTATCAGCCATTTCTTGCGCTCTCGTTAAGGCATTGTAGAATTTTGTGATTTCTTCTTCACTTGAACTCTCAGTGGGAGAATATACTTGAATCAGTGATAGTGGACCTTCCTTAAAGTTCAGTTTTAGCAGAGCCACTCTCTCCGATATTCCCAAGAAGCTTAAAATGTTGCCCTTTAGAGATTTCTTTATTATGAAGCCTACACCATGAAGTCCTTGTGTCTCTCCTATATAGCAAAATATGTAGTCTTTATGTTCTTCGATGGTATATCCTATCTTTTTAACTTCAGCGAGTCCTATAATATCCCATTTTATTTTATTTATTGCATTATTTAGTTCTAAAGTTCTTTCTTTCGTTGATAGGGATCTCACATTAAGTGTGCATATTTTAAGGCCTTGTTCTTTTCTTGACTTTATACTCTTTCTTTTGTTTTCATAACTAGGGTTGTTTTTATTGTTTATATTTATAATATTATGGTTGTTTTTATTTAATGGAGGGTAGTGGTCGTCTTGCCCCACGGTGACCAGCCGGCTTGGGGTGCTTTTTTTGGAAGTTATTTTTAACAATGTTGTAGTATTTGTCTTGATTTTGTTCCGGGTGCCGGTGGTCGTTGCTAGTTTTTTGAGATTTCAGACAGTGAGGCTGTTCTGCCTCGTCCAACATAGTTAAGAATATTAGGTCTTATAATTTCTTTTGAGACACTCTTCGAGTTTATTTTCTTTTGGGTTGATGAATTGGGTGAGCCTGAATCTTCTCTTTTTCTTTTGTCTCTGGTTTTGTCAGTTGGTTTCTTCACTATAAGTTTGTCATATTTAAGATAAGCGATATTTCCTTTCTTCCTTTCCTCTTCTAGTTGTGGTTGTAGCTTCTTCCGCTTTTCAAGTACTTCCTTAGTGTAATCCTCCTTGACATTAATACCTGGTGGGAGATTAGCCTTGTTTTTCAATATGGTATGTTTTTTCCATAAAGACGTTAAGGTGACTACGACAGGGCGACTTTTATTGTTGTTTTTGCCGATCCTATATATGTTTTTGATTTCCTGACTATCTATGTGTGTTCCTGTTTCTTTTATTATGTCCTTTATGTAGTCTACCATCTCCGCTTCTAGTTTACCAGACTCCTCAATTCCAAAAAAGACCAGGTTATATTTCCTTTTTTCCAGTTCCATTATGTTAAGTTTTTGCTCCAATGTAGAAATTTTTGCTTTGAGTTTAGTATTTTCCTCTGTTATTGTTTTTAATCTCTCATCTATTGCCTCCATAACATTTTTCGTTACTGTCGTCGTTATAATTTTAGTTTGTTGGTTCAGTTTTTCATCCAGTCTTGACAGCAGCAACTCCATGCTTTTATCCATTTTTGGGGGATTGTTTTTGTTCTGGCAATACTGGTTTAGTGATAATTTATTTGTTGATGTTGGTCACACTGAAACTGTCAGTGTCAGAATGGCCTTAGTTGACGTTTGACAAATTCGTTGGTTGTATTGGTAGCACTGCTGTATGATTTGCAAATTGTTAGGATAAGTGATGTTTGATTTTATTATAAGTTTCTCTGCTAGCTTTATGTTTGCACTGTGGTTATTTTCCAATATTGTCTTTTGCCGTCACACCTAATGGATTTTGCGTCGAGACGCCACAAATTAACACTGTTTGCACTGTTATTGTTTTTTATTTGCGGAGGACTTTGACGTACGTGTTTACTGTAAGACCACCGGAAGCGGAATCCAATAAATACTTATGTCCACAAAAACAAAACCCAATTAAAATTAGACTAATTAGGTAATTAGCCTACTTTATTTTTTTAGTAATCTATACTAATATTATAAAGTGGTAAAGTTTGTGAGTTTGTAACGTTGTAAGGGGTAATCTCTGGATCTACTGAACCGATTTAGATGAAAGGGTCTAGCCGTACTTCCATGGCGAAAGTGCCCCCGATAGGAACCTATATATATCGTAACTAATTTTATTTTGTAGAGGACACTAATAGTAATTGATCCAGTAAATATTAGATTATCCAGGTCAACATTTAGGATACTTTTTACCGTGGAAAAATGTCTCATTTCTGAGAAAAAATACAAAAACTGCAATGTAAGAGTATACTAATATGTAAAACCTAAGAATTTGGTTTTTGGTCATTTGAACGCGGGCGGAACCGCGGGCAATGCTACTAATAATATTAATAACAGCCTAGTTAAAACTTAACTGCGAGAGTTTTCCTTAAAACCGTTTTCCTGTCTACGAACAATGAACATAGGTAAACACGATTATTCATAGCTGCATTCATTATTCAATTAATCAAACCTATACTATTACCTATAATAAATTAAAAAGGTGTCTGTATGTTTATAACGTTTTAGTACATAAACCGCTAAGCCGATTTTGATTAATTTTGACATAGATATAGCTTATACATTAGAGAGACTGTTATATGTAGATCTTATTGCAAGAAAATCTTTGTACACCTACTTATTAATAAGGCTGAAGAGTTTGTTTGTTCAAGTTAGTTTGAATGCATTAATCTCTGGCACCATCAGTTTGAATTGACAAATATATTTTATCCTGCACTTTATAGCTTGTTTATTAGAGGTTATGGGGAATCTATACCTATTCTAGCATCATGCTAAGATCTTACGGAGCAAATTACATTTACAACGAGGATGGAGCCTCCATAAACGCTAATGTCTTCTACGGCACTACAAAAAGTTCCTTACACTACCTCAACCTAATCAATTTATTAAATAAAAAAAAATATTGCACTTAGTAAAATATAGATATTAGGTAATAATATGTTATAAGACTACTTAAAAAATCGAAGTTTCAGTAACAAAAAATAGCTTAATCTCGACGATAATTTAAGTATTCTGAATTCTGATACATTGTTCCTACCTAAAGAAGTAATATTGTTATCAATCCCTAGGAAATATTCGAAAAAATATATCAAACATTTGTTTTCAAATTAATTCCAAAATAGTAAGAGTTACAGAAAAATTGTGAAAATAAATTCAAATTCAAAAACTTAAAAAAATACGCAAAACTATTCCTATTATTTTATATATCACTGTTTTTGGGTATATTTTTAAATAACTTAAAGAAGAAGAAATAATAGCAAATCATGGATATGTTACATAGGTTTAACGTAACGACATTGAAATACTCACATCACAAGGAACACACAACCACACACGTTCACAAGAGAGGATTAGTCTAGTTACTTTAAAGTACATTTACATTAATATCGTGCAGAGTAGATTCGATTAATTTCCCCTTTTAATCAAATTTCTTTATCAACTCAATCATAACTTCATTACCTATTTATTCTCAATATCAAACACATTTTTAGATGAAAGTATAATGTAAGGCTTAATATACAGTATGTGTGTCTATCAAAATTTAGAAAAAAAAACTAACATTATTAAGAAACTTTTTAAAGTAAAGCTCTACCGGTTTTAAATATGTAATATGTTTCAAAGCTTTTAAATAATACAAAAAAAAATTGGACGATATTTAAATAAATTTTGGTAATTTGCTTCAACCTCCCTATCACTTAGTTAATTAGTCAAAACAATCGATAGTTACGCATTAATGGAGTTAAAGAGTTAAATGAAAGGTTTTATACAAACATAAAATGTACATGCTACCACACACGACACGACAGAAAGACCAATGACATCACATATTCAAATACAATTGGCGTCAGAATAATAACGAAGCTACAAACACAGGAAGCGTCTGAACATTTATTCCCAACAAATATCTTTACTTAACATTTCTATAAATCAATATTTAATAATAAGTACCTGGGCGACCGAGCCTTGCTCGGAGTGTTTGGCCAAAAAAAAACATAAAAAAAAAACAAACTAAGAATTTGAATAACTACAAAAAAAACAAAATTAAAAACTTTGTGTTCGACCGGGATACGAACCCAGACACCTGTGGTTGTCAAATTTGCGCATTGGCCGCTTGACCATGATGCTTATATCTGAGCATGCGAAATTATCGAACATAATATTTTGCGTGGAATTATTAATTATTAATTTATTGAAATAATGCAAAAGGAATCATAATAATAATAAAGCTCTATTTATTTATTCATTTATTTATTATAAAGGCTTACTAACTAAATTTACATAAAAACATTTATTTAACATTAAAATGTTATTTGGTTAAGAGTATATAAGGAGCCATTTTAGTTGTACAATAAACAAAAGAAGAAAAAAAAAACTAATCTAAATATTTAAATACACTTTCTTTTTAAATAAATTTAAACTATCAGAAAAAATGTCTATATCACATTGCTGAAATATAAAATTATATAATTTAGTGACTATTTATTAACTTATAATTTTTTTTAACTAATAATTTTGTAATCTGGAATTAAATTATTTTAAAAATCTTTAATATTATTTGAAATTATATTGTATATATATATAAATTATCATTAACAAATAAATAAACAATGACAGTAAATTAAATAATTCAATTGAGTAAATACTAAACATTTCACAATAATACATATAAATAAAATTTCTTTCCATACATTAATTCTGACAGTAGTTATAAGTTAGGTATTTAATTTCATAATTAAATGTATTTATTTAGTAAATGTCTTTTTCATGTATAGACCCGTCTCGGTTAAAAGCCTCCTCCAAAGTAGTCCTGCATAGAGCTCTCCGTTGGAGATTATGCTTGTATGATTGCAAAGGGTTTCTTTTCAAATTTTGTTTTCAATATATAATTTGTTTCTGATATGCCTATAAAGTTTATAATTTTATCTTTGTGTTCTTTTGATTTGTTGTAGGAAATGCTGCTTTTAATTCTAGAAGTTTTTCTGGTGAAGATATATATTACCTTTGTTCATTGTATGTCTGTTTTTCTTTGGAGGGTTACGGTCGAACTCCCCCACAGTGACCGGCCGTACTGGGGGATAAAAATGAGGAGGTTCCTACTGTGTTTAATATACTGTATCTTGCTGTGTTGTTTTTAGTTCTTCCTGGTTATCATTTGTGTGGTTGAAAGTTAATTTTGGTTTTTGTAATATAAAGTCTTTAATATTAGCAGGTTTGGTTTTCTTTGTATGTTATTTATTTGTTAGTTTTTGTTTATAATTGAGGTAAGGCGTTTCTGAAGATACAGGCAGACTTCTTTTATTTGAGTATTGGCGAGAAGTGTTCTTATTATTATCCACAATAATTAGTTTATCATATTTAATGAAAGCTGTTTTGCCAAGGTCTTTTTCTTTATCTTCAGTTGGGCTTGTAACTCCTTGCGTTTATTTAAGACTTTATTTTTTCCTCTAGTTCATGATAGGATTTTTCACCTTTTTCTACTCCGAACATAACCAAGTTCTTGCGCCTAATATGTCTTTCTAAATTATTTATTGAGGATTTTTTTATTTCTAAGTGTTTAAATTTCTCATTTAAGTATATTATATTGTTGATTGTATTTTTAATGTCTTCTTTCATTTCTAACATTTCTGTTTTCTGCTGTCTTATTTCTTGTTGCATGTTTATTAGCAACTTTTTTATCTCCTCCATCTTAAGTGTGAAGTCGGAAGTAGAAAAGCTGATTGAAAAAGAGCACCAATTATACCTAGTTGAATTGCAATTTTATACAGAGTATTAGTTTTTGAGGTTATAAACTTATGTTTTAATATTTTACGCTTTCACTTCACAAATTATTTTGTTTTATTGTCATCACACACAGAAAAGATGGTTTTGCACTGATAGTATCTATAAGTTATGTTTGTCACTTTTGTATTTGTTTGGTAGGTGAATTTTTAAAAGCGGATTTGTTCTTCAACACATCAAGACTTGGTGATGTTTACATATTGCCCATAGGTTTTATTTAAAAATTTACTTAGATTAGATTTAATTTTTCTTTAGATTATTTTCACTTAAATATATTTAAACTTGATGTAAATACGGACACGATGTTGACAGTTGCACAGTGGCGCCGCCCACTCACCAGAAGTGACAATGTAATAATTGTGAAAATGCAAAAGAAAATCGCATGAAAATTCGAAAATTCGCGTTTTTCCAGATATAAGACTAATCTAGATCGATTTTTCGCCCCCGAAACCCTCTGTATGCTAAATTTCATGAAAATCGTTGGAGCCGTTTTCGAGATTCAGATTATATATTGAGATATATATATATATATACAAGAATAGCTCGTTTAAATATATAAGATAATGTTACCCAACAAAACAAAAATTTGTACTCTTTAAAATAACTAATGTCATGAGTCGTACCAAATTAATTCTATTGCCTCAAGTCAATCGATATGTAATTGGCGACAAGGTTGCAAATAAATTGCCATATGTAATGTCATTGGTAGCTAAACTCACCTATCAGTGTTCATATCCTGAGATAGATTGTCCTGGTACGTACTCAACACCGACATAGCATGCAAGTCGGCGATCCTCCCTTCCGCCGCTTTCTCCGTCTATTCCAAAAACATCGAGATCAATCACACTTGCCAGTGTGAGATTTTATAAACAATTTACGTATTCATAAAGATAAAACTTTAAAGACGTGTAGGCTGATTAGTTTAAAAACGACCTTGTTACCGTTCTAAATGGTATTACATATAATGTATTGAAAAAATCTTAAATATTTTTAAAACAAGTAGCTTTTATTTTAAACTATAAATATAAATGAGTAATAAGCGATAAAAATATCACTTCAACACCAAACAATCCATATTCCATTGTGTATTCATACAGACTGGAAGTACATATATTATTTGCTCAGACTGAATATTTCAGAGCCAGTTAAAATAAATATCGTACTTCAAAATTTCCGCACCTCATTCGACTTCTAAATACTCTATTTCCACAAACATCGTATATAACATAACTTATCACTTCAATGAAACTTCGTGCGATCATTTTATTCACTGTTTTCTAACTACACAGTATTTTTTTACAGTGACTTGAGAAACTACTGACCTTGCCGGTTTACACCGTCTTGGTACAAGTCTGAATCATTTGTGTTTGATTAGTGCCCGTTCTTAAGAGTAACATATTCTACAATCCTGATATCTTTTTTTTGTATTATATAATAATATGATAAGAGACAGATTTAGAAATTTATCTCAGTAATTTCGAGAGGTGTTGAAGAATAATCATAATTTTAGTATACATATAAGTGAAGTTAGAAGATGTATAATAAAATGACTAATTTATGCATAATGAAATATTTGTTCTTAGTCATTTCAAATTCCACATATTATAGTGAAGATCAACCACCGTAAGTCCTAAGTAGAATTATATATGCACACAATTTTGCATTCAAAAACATTCGAGTCACTAATTGCATGAATTAAAAAAAAATCAGGTGGGTCTGTGTCGGGGCATATCGGTGTTCGTTTAATGTCAGCCTAATGAAACCTATTTCACTACGGTCCACTTTTCTGATTTAGTATCTGTATGTTTCAGTGTGATTTTAAAGATGTTTCACATCAAAAAAAGTATCAAGATCAATGATAAATATTTTCCGTCATTTTATATAATTGATTACCACTGACCTATTATACCCAAGATAAACTCATGTGTGGAACACAAGCAATAAGATTTTTTATACAAAAGCTACACATCTACTCAAAAGAAAAGTAGGCCACAGAACTGAATATTTCTATTATACTGTGTGACCAATTTTGCCAAACACTAATTTCGTTAAGTGTACCCACTTATCTTTATTAGGTGAAATCCTTTGATATTCACATTTTAGTAATAACTAAAAATTTAAGTAATTAAGTTTATATGACAACTTATATTGGATTAAAAGTGGAAATACTTTAGTATAAAAGCATAATATAATAATTAACATAATTAGACATTAGTATTTCTATAAGAAATACAAAATTTTTGTTATTATTGTGTATATTATATTGATTAATATTCCAAAGACCTGCATTTTTTTTGATTATATTAATGTTTGCGCCCTCAAACGAAACTTAAAGTGAAATACTAGTACTGCCCAAAATGTTATAAATCTACTTGTGAAAAAAGTCTTTACTAATTGTTATATTTTTTTATTTTCTGTACCTGTGTAGCAAAGGGAAAGAGTAATGCAAATTATTGTTTATATTATGTATTTGCAGAGTGAATATAAATGAATCATATAATATCAAAGATGGCAATATCCAAACTACCAAAAATTCAAGGAGATAATTAAGAATATTTTTTATTAGCTTTCTTTCATTCTTTTCTTTAATGACTTAATATATAAAAGCAAACTAATGATCCGATATAATTAAAAGAAAACAGGAATAAATGAATTATTAACATAATAATAATTCATTTAATGGAGGATTTGAATTATTATTACATTCTTTAAATTTATCTGAAAGTGTATTGTAGAATACACACTTAATTATAAAATTATAATTAAGACTATTATTATTATTTTTATTTTACATAATTAGAAAGTATGTTATGGATATATAACTTGGAGATTATTACTTTATAATTATGACAGATTATATTTTACATATCTTATACTTGCCAGAGTTATTACATTACTCCTTGATGTTTTATATTATAAATCTAAAAAAATCTACTACTTTTTTCAACTACATATATAAAATATTTATGTTGATATTAAAGTTAATTCAAAATTTTTGGTTGCTTTTTTACTCATTTAAGATTCAGTTTTGAAAAAAATATACAACATAGTGGGTATATTATAAAGAAATAAATAATTTAGAAAATTTATGAAGTAGGTGTTTATCATAGGTATTAGGTATATAAATTTAATGGACTTGAAAATTATGGATTAGTCCCTGTAAATAAGATAATATAAAGAAGTATAGAAGTTAGGTATATTCTTGAAATAAAAGCCCCATTACAGAACATTAAGTGAAGCAAGTAATATAATGATTTATCAATAATTTTAAATAGTGACGTAAATAATAAACTCACTTCGTGAAATGCACCATCTCCATCCTGGAATAGCTGTTCGAACGCAAGTTCATTGCGTTGTGCATCTGATAAGAAGGACTCTGTTTCTGCCGTGTCGGATGGCTTGTGATGTAATTTTACGGAACCGGCAAATATAGGAGTCGCTATCTTTGGGGTAAAAACATTTTCTTCAGGCCTCTCTAACAAAGGCTTCGGGATATCTTCTTCAAGAGAAGGATCTCCGTCAGACATCACATACAACTCACTTTACAATCAACCACAGTTATCACTGTACTTTATTTACGTAGAACTAACTGTATCCGTCCCAACTTATCATGCTTCAACATAGGCTCTAAAGTCTAAAGATGATTAGTCACTATCAAGGAAATAACCAGCCACTATTCACTGCACAAGCCTTTCTTGTATGAATATTAGCATTCAATAACTGTTTAACTCACTAAACTTAAGTACCCGCATATTACGTGATAATAAATAAAAATCAGTCTTGATTCCAAAGTCAGAGAGGTGACGATAGACGACTAGAGAAGCAGTCGTGAACCGAGCTTATTTTAGTAACTTTGTAGTTTGTACCTACAGCTTCTCCACAGATGACAGATTAAGGAGACAGCTTTTCTTTGTCAAATACAAATTGTCATTGTCAATGATGAATGCAGTGTGCACTGCAGAATGAGGAAAGACAATGACATAGGCAATAGTGATGCGACGTCAATCCACTGCAATATAGGTAATTCATTTATTGACTTTAAGAAAAAATTCTGACGTCCGATCTATTGCATCTGGGACTCATCAGAAGCGGACGTCAGAATTCTAATAATATGTGGGGTCTAAACCAAAACAAATGACTAGAGTGCCTTCCGGCGGGCGTCAGAATTTTTCTAACAGAAAAATTCTTGATGATGAATCTGACAAAAAAATATGTGGCTTGCCTAAACATTTGACACGCTCGTTTGTGGTACAACTTTTGCGATTAAGTTACTTTCAGTTTTATCACTTTTTTCTACTTCACCATAAACATGATTGGACTTGAATAATTTTTTATCGTTCTCATTATTTTGACCATATACAATATAATTGATAACTGGTTGAAATCTATATTTTATTATTTCTTCTATTTTTATAAATATTATGAGTTTACAAATGATTTTTTTGATCCTATTATCTTCGGAAATAAAACACTAGGAGGACAATAGTGCTGCCTTCTACATTTCGCGCACGGTCCCCATCATAGTCCGATTTTATTTATAATATTTTTTTTGAACATTGGCAATACTTTATGCCACGCCGTTTATGAACTGTCAAATAAATTTAGTGTCACGTCAAAATCTGCAACTCGAGTTGCTCAGTCGGCAAATGGAAGATAGGTTGCCGGCGAATTTTTTTTTAGTAAAATTATAATAATTCTTATTGTTTTTATTTATGCTTTAAGAAAATAAATCTAAGACCATTATACAAAATGACTGTGGAGGTGCAAATTAAGGCAAAGCTGCCACAGCTTACGTCTGATAAACAACTTACATTCATAAAGTTAGCTGTTTTATCAATGGCAGCAATTTTATGTAAGTAAAATCTTATAAAAATGATCATAAGGTTTTTAATTAAGACTTTGATAATATAAAATACAAACTTCCACTTATTAAAAATATGCTGTTGTGATTGTTTTTCACTGACGTGGTACCACTGCGATAACGAATGGCGACAGACATGCTGACATAAACTTTAAATTTAAAGAATAACTAAATGTAATTTCCTATCTATTAAGTTTGTAATGTAACAATTACGTAATAACATCTTTTTGTTTTAGCTTTTGCGACTCGTCTGTTTTCTGTTCTACGATTTGAGAGCGTGATACACGAGTTTGATCCATATTTCAACTACAGAACAACTCGCTTCCTTACAGAGGAAGGATTTTATAAGTTTCACAACTGGTTTGATGATAGAGCATGGTACCCCTTAGGTCGTATTATTGGTGGTAAGTAAAGGAAAATATTTTTGTTTTTATATAAACATTTTATTTTATTTAGAACTTGTAATGTGCCTGTATTAAACATATACAGCACATTATCACAATTGATTGAAATATTTTAAATATCAATAGAATTTGTAATACAATTTTAACATTGCACTTGCATTTTGTAGGTACAATCTACCCTGGCCTGATGGTGACATCCGCTACTCTGTACAATATAATGCAATTTCTAAACATCACAATTGACATCAGAAATGTTTGTGTGTTCCTCGCTCCCTTCTTCTCTTCACTTACAACCATAGTCACATACTTATTAACTAAGGAATTGAAGGTAAACAAAATGTAGTGACTATTAATCCATTTTTTATCATTAACTTTTTTTATAATTAATAGCCAAACTAATAAAAATAAGATTAGTTGTACAGTAACTGTACTAATAATAAATTATTATATAAATAAAATAAAATATATCTATACTAATATTATAAAGAGGTAAAGTTTGTGATCTTGTGAGTTTGTGACGTTGTAGGGGGTAATCTCTGGATCTACTGAACCGATTTTCAAAATTCTTTTACCAATAGAAAGCCACGTTCTTTCTGAGTGTCATATATATTAACCCGAAAAATGAAAAGGCTTTTTTGTGGTAGTCGGATTTGCAAAGTAAGTCGGAGAAAAAATGGTCGAACGAAAACATTTTTTACGAACGCTGCCTTAACGATGAGAGATATATGATTATGTTCTAGAGAAAAGTTGTAGAGCTTAATAATGCCTACAAAAAAGTCAGCGACAGCATATGTCTAACTTTTATAATTAAGTCACAAAAAGTAGTTTTTTATATTAAAAAAATAATTTAAATCGGTAGGTCATGTTTATTGGTCATATTATCAACAATTATGAATTCTTATCAAAATAAGTAAATTAATCGTCTAAAATGTTTAAAACAAAAGACTTTTCCCTTTTACTGCATATAATTTAGACAAATGGTTAAAGAGATAATACAACATATTTGTAGGTATGGATGAACCCGAGTGAGCTGTTTGTCTGTTTTTCTGTTTGTACGGGCTAATCTCCGAATCTATTAGACCGATTTAAATGAAATTTTGCATGATAGTACCTTATGTCCTCGGCAATATCTTAGATACTTTTCATCCCGGAAAATTAAAGAGTTCCCGTGGGATAGTTAAAAAAATATAACAACTTATACAGCTTAGTACACAAAAACTACTGATTGGATTTTAATGAAACTTCACAATAATATAGTTCATACATGACAAAAACAAATCAGCTACTTTTCATCCCGGAAAATTAAAGAGTGTCCGTGGGATAGTCAAAAAACTATAGTAACTTATACAGCTTAGTACACAAAAACTACTGATTGGATTTTAATGAAACTTTACAATAATATATATAGTTTATACATCAGAATAACAAATAGGTTACTTTTTATCCCGGAAAAATGTACTGTTCCCGTGGGATTGATGTTTTTGTTTATTTGTAACGTATTATGTTCACAACATCAACCCCAAAACAATAGTTATTAAAAAAATTGACTGTTTGTCTGTTTGCCTGTATGTCTGTTTGTCTGTTTCACGCGAAAAGTAATGTACCGAATTCAACGAAATTTGGTTAAGTGATAACTTATATTACTCGAGTCAACATTTAGAATACCTTTTGTATGTATGTATTTATGTATGTATGAAATCAGCCCTTTTTAACTCCCCACTGCTGGGCACGGGCCTCCCTTCAGTACGAGTGGGATCAGGCTTTAGTCCACCACGCTGGCCAAGTGCAGGTTGGCGGACTTCACATGTCTTTTGAAAACTTGCTAGGTTCTCTCAGACATGCACGTTTCCTCACGATGTTTTACTTCACCCTTAAGACAAGTGGTAATTGTGTTAGAAATGATTCGCACATGAAAATATTAGAGGTGCTAGACCCGGGATTTGAACTTGCTTCATTCGGTTTCCCAAGTGAGCACGTTACCACTGGGATACCACTGCCTAGATACCTTTTACTTTAAGAAAATCTTTCATTCCCATTCCCAGGAAAATACGATAACTGGTTTTATCGAGTCCTCCCTAGAAACCTTCCGCTGGCTAAACCTTAAGACATACATACATCAAAATAATATACTAAAAAATTGTAGGTCTTGAAAAGTCCTACAGAAAAGTTCTGAATTGTATATGTATCTCCTAAGTTACACTCGCAATATTTATTCTTATCTATACATATAATAAAACTAACTTATTCAAATCGATGTGCGCGTTTGACGCAAAAAGTACTCAACCGATTTTAACTAAATTTTGTATAGTGATAAAACTTAGTACTCGGGTCAACATTTAGGATACCTTTTACGACGGGCAAATTATTCATTCCCACTGGAAAACACAATAACTGGTTCTATCGAATCGTCCTTAGAAATTTATATGGCTAACGTTGGCTCAACCTTAAGAGATAGATCAAAACATTGTGTAAGAAAATTGTAAGTCTTAAAAAGGTCTATAGAAAAGTTCTACATAGTATATGTCGATCTCCTAAGGTACACTCGCTATAACTATTTTTATTATTATATATTACTGTTTTATTATACGTTATTTATTTTATCTATAAATATAATAAAACAGTAGATGTCAAATGTCTGTACATAAAAAAAATGCTAAAAACCGAGTCCGTTATCTTTTTACATCCCGTAAGAAGAAAAATAGAACAAATCCAGAGTTTTTTCAATGTTTTTGTTTCTCTGTCTGTTTGTACGGGCTAATCTCCGAAACTATTGGACCGATTTAAATGAAATTTGATACTTTTCATTCCGGAAAATTAAAAGAGTTCCCGTGGGATAGTTAAAAAACTATAGTAACTTATACAGCTCAGTACACAACAACTTATACACCTAATTTAGTAAAATTTGGCATGCTGATGCAACAGGTAACTTATTTTTATCCCGGAAAAATGGACAGTTCCCGTGGGATAGATTTGTTTGTGCTTTTCTAGAGGTGAACCCGAGCGAAGCGAGGGTGAGCCGCTAGTATAAAATAAAGTCATTTTATATTCTGTGTATTTTTTATCATGTGCAATATTATTGCTGAATATTATACTATAGTTTATTTATCAAAAGTAGATTACTTTTAGAGATACAAATAAAAGATTTCTATCTACAAAACAATTTTAATGCTTATCAGGTAAAAAGTATTTTATGTCTCAAGAAATACACTATGTTACTATAACTCTGATAAGCTTTCATAATATTTTGATTCAAACATTATAACATTTAATATTTCTCTTTTTTTGTATTAAGATTTAATCGTTAAACATACAATAAAATTTTTCATGTAGTTTCTATGTCTATTAAGATTCATATTTAATTTAATTATTTAACAGGATGAAGGAGCAGGTCTTGTAGCAGCGGCCATGATTGCAATAGTCCCTGGATATATCAGTCGCTCAGTTGCAGGCAGTTATGATAATGAAGGAATTGCCATATTTTGTATGTTACTTACATACTACTTTTGGATCAAAGCGGTAAACACTGGGACTATTCTATGGGCAACTATGACTGCTTTAGCATATTTCTATATGGTAAGTGTACAATTTGTTTGTAAAAAAACTTAAATACTATGAAATTTTAGTATCATAGAAAATAAAACTAAAATCTCAATTAACTTTTAGTGCTTATTGAGAATTTGTTAGAAATGGGAGTAAATTATGGAAATGTCATAAAAATTATTATATACATAAAATGTAGTGATTCTATTTTGAAATTCCATAAGTCAGTGCAATATCTACCTAACAAATTGAATAAAAATTGAACAAAGGATCCAGTCCTCTGATGTTTTGGGCACTACTTAATTGTCCTTTAACTCCATTTATCTGTATGATATTTTAAAAATACACATCTCTTATAAAAAATTGTGATATTATTTATTGATTGACATTTGACATAGTAAAGGAATTTACTATAATTTTTGTTATGATTATTGTATACATTATACAATGATCAAATTGTCAATCACAGATCATCAAGATGAAAGTTTCACACAAGTATGTATAAAGTTACATATTTGTTTTTGCTCTTTCATACAAATAATCCTGTAACTGAATTGAAAATATAAAAGTTGTTAAAAGACCCACTCGTTTTTCAATATTTGTTGATGAGAGCTTTTTATTTATTTTTTATTTGAGTAATATTATTATTAATGTCAAATTTAACTTGGACCATTTCCGCAATTCCATACAAAACTTATAATCCTAGCTTATTACTGGAGTGAACTAGAGGTAAAAACTAGTGCTAAAATAACAAAAAAATTTAAAACTTATAACAACAAGCAAAATTCTAATTCAATCATTTTTTTATCAATACAGGTATCATCATGGGGCGGTTATGTGTTCCTCATCAATTTGATACCTCTACATGTGTTGGCTTTGATGCTATTAGGACGGTTCTCAGCCCGCGTGTACGTCGCATACAGTACATTGTACTGCGTTGGTACCATTCTCTCTATGCAGATCTCCTTTGTCGGCTTCCAGCCAGTACAGAGCTCGGAGCACATGCTCGTAAGTAACAAAATACTAGCATAAACACCCTAGGCAGAATTGTACATTGGTTATAAAAGTAATTATTTTAGGCATAGATATAGAATATTTTTTAATTTATATGAAATACCTCACCAGCTCTTCAACAGAATTGATTCCCGAGCAGGTGGTAGATCCCTTGCAGATATACACTGACTAAAATAAATTTAAAAATGCAAAATGGACGATTCATAAGTGCTAGTAAAAATCTATATGAATAAAGTATAATTTGATTTGATTTATTCAATTTAAGAAAAGTAATAAAAACCTTCCAAAATTGCTGAAAATATCGCAAGCAAAACTTCAAACTTTGTGGACTAAAAAATTACAAAAAAAACATATATCTACAAAAAATACAATAATTATTTAAATCCATACATATAATAAAATTGTAACTAAGCCGAATCTGTACATTAAATATTTTTTGGAAAATCTTATTGAAATAAACATTATTATCGATACAGAACCCGAATCTATAGTTTTTAGAATTTTTGTCTGTCTGTCTGTTACCGCATCACAGAAAAACCACTTGACGGATTTTGATAAAATTTGGTATGGTGATAGTTGGTTATCCGGGTCAACATATAGGATACTTTTTACCGCGGGAAAATTTCTCATCTTGAGAAAAAATACGAAAACTGCAACGTAAGAGTATACTAATATGTAAAACCTAAGAATTTGGTATTTGGTCATCTGAACGCAGGCGGAGCCGCGGGCAATGCTAGTATAAAAAATAAAAAAAAATCTTTAGTAATGGTTAAGTATGATATTGAAATACTAATATTTAGTTGGTATTTTTTTTACCGCCATAAAAAATATTTAAAAAGAAACTGTTTATTAAACACTTATCACGTTTTTATTTTATGCTTATCATTCTAAATGCGTGGCTCGTGTTACAATTATTGTATTGTGGCTGTAAAATGCATTTTTCATTTTATACTTTTAAGTTTATTTTATTTGTTACCAAGCAATTCAAATAATTATTTTATTATAAATATGTTATGTATATTTGTTAGTAATACAAAAATTTTAGGTTTAACTGTTTAAAGTAGTTACACAATATATGTATTCAGCCCTTATTCGTAATGAAGGGAGGTCAGGTCCAGGCCTCCCTTCAATACGAGGGGTATCAGACCATAGTCCACCACGCTGGCCAACTGCGGACTGACTGACCATGTCTTTCGAAAACTTGCTAGGTTCTCTCAGACATTCAGGTTTCTTCACGTTTTCTTTCACCGTAAGACAAGTGGTAATCATGTTAGAAATAATTCGCACATGAAAATATCAGAGGTGCAAGGGGATTTGAACCCGCTCCATTCGGTTTCCCAAGCGACCACTAAGACCACCAAAAATATATATTGGAAAATATAATCAAAAATATTGTAAAATTGGATATGGTAAAAAATAATTGACAGAAATGAAAATTGCATATGAAATAAGAATTTAATTAAATATTTATTCTTCATTTCAGGCACTCGGAACTTTCGGGCTTTGCCAGTTGTATGCTTTCACTCAGTACTTGCGCCAGCACCTCTCTCCCTCTAACTTTGAATTGCTATTCAAAGCGCTGTTGACCACGCTACTGGCAACACTTGGTACTGCTATTGTGATATTGACGGTCACTGGTAAGTTATTGTTAAAGTATTTGGAATAATATGTGGCCATGGCGGCCAATCTCATTGAGTGCTATACAGTGCTTAAGTATGAGCTATACAGTGCTTAAGTATGAGAGGGAACACTAGTGCACTCTCTATTCCTGTCACTCTCACACTCCACTGGGACGACACTCGACAAGACCAGTGATAGATAAGGCGCAGGAGCGACGCGATACGTGTTCTGCGAGGTACACTCCACTCCACTTCCCAGCGGGCCAACTCCAAGCTGTTACTGAGAATTTCTTGACAGAAATAATCATTAAAAAACTTGGACGACCCGGTACTCGAACCCAGGAATTCCGGATATGCGGTCGTTCTTAGCCACTATACAAAACTTATGTTTGTGTTTAGCCTAGATATAAGCTTTCTCCATACCACATTTTACCAAAATCTTTTGTGTCGCTACAGTGTTTAGAAATAACAATTACACATGCAGACTCACCCACACATTTATTATATTAGTGAAACATATATCAATAAAAATATCTTATTAAATAAAGCTTAATATCTAAGATTAATTTATAAATCAAAGCAGTAATATAATATTACTGCTTTGATTTATAACTATAATCTTGGTTATTGAGATTGCATAGATAAAGGGATAGGTGAAACAATACCTAAGTAATAAATTGAAGATATTTTAATTTATTTGTAGTTTTTCTTTACAAAAGTTTATATATATATACATATATATATATATGGGTGGTTCTTCAAAATTTGGTTAACTTATGGCCTAATTTTGACAAAGGTCTTTTTAGATGGTTATCAGTAAATTTCTGATTCTATACTGTGGATATAATATTTACTTTGTTGCATCTAAAAGGGCCAGTCACTTTACAATGTATTTTATGAGAAATTCAAGTTTTTTTGAAATTAGTTATCTAGGGACTGACAAGACATGATAGGGACTGACGCCAAAGACGGTTAATGTGTTTAATCACATTTTTATAGCAAAATTAACTTTAACAAAATAAAATAACTTACATATTATTATTATTCATTGTAACAAACAGTCAAAATATAAGATATTTTATATAACAAGTAGAATTGTCTTCCTACAATCTTAAATTTAGTATCATACTCAAAAATATTCAATGTACTGAAGTAGACAATCAATTTTATGTTACCTTGACAAGCTATTTTTTATATCAGTGAAACTTATTGTTACCTACTTATCTCTTCAGTAAACAAAATTTATAAAATCTGAGTAAACTGAAAAGTTACAATCGTAGGCTTTCTTTTATTAACTGTACTTTGACTTTAGTACTTACAAACTAAAAATCTTTAAATAATTAACAATACTTTAAAAGTTAGCTTTCTAAGTAACAAAATTATAATTTAAACGTAATAATCACTCTTTCTCTAATTAATCACAAATACTATCACATCACTATTTATTTGTTCTACTTTTCGTAAGCGACAACTTCTTCTTCTTCTTCTTCTTCTCCCTGCCCATTTCCCAAATCACTTGGGGTCGGCGCAGTACATCTTCAGTGTACTGCTGATAGGATTTGGCAAAAGTTTTACGACCGGCCGCCTGCCTGACGTCAACCCTCCTTGGGAATGCTATTGTCTTTCTTTGTCTGAATGGTGTTAAATATTATGCACTTTCGATTTTGTTGTGTTTTAAAACATTATTTATACTATTAATTCAATTATTAATGTTATTTTTGGATATATTTTAAAATAAATTTCGATTACACAATAAATTTTGTATTGACATTGTCAATTTTTTTTTATTCTATTTTTTCGTAAGCGACAACATGTTTCTTAAATTTGTGAAACACGGTTCCACCCTATTAGGTGTTAGGAACTGGCAGTTATTCTAAAACATTCTTCGTAAGGCACGTCAGCGATATCATTCTCATTTATTTGAAATTCTGTGCCATTTATCAATTCAGCTTTTTGATTAGGGTCGTTAGCCATGGCTTCAATTTTACTTTTTGGTGTAAGTGCTTTCTTATTTTTCGTCATCTTACGTTTCAGTCTTCTGTTTCATGGTTCTTCTATGCTCACGCGGTGTCATGTCCTTAACACATTTCCTTTGTCCTTTTTATTTTTTCTTTGGATATTTATGTCGTTCTCTTTCTTTGTACTCTGCTAGCAAAATGTTCACACTTTTTTTGGCGAGTTCCCCTTTGGAAAGTAATGTTTTCTTTTTAGGTGCCATATTCTACACCAAATACATATATTTTATTATTAAAACCATGGATCACGCAGTATGACCGTCAGTCCCTAGGTGTGCCATCAGGTCCTAGTCACTTTTACGACGAGGGCCTGACGGTCTAGGGACTGACGAATCAAAGCAAAATCAAAAATAACCTATTATTTAAAATAAACATAACAACCAGCAAGTGATCAAAATAACAAGGCAGACAAAGCTCAAATTTACAATAAGTAATGAGATCAATTATTGATTAACTATCTTTGAAACGACTTACCTAGGGACTGAGAGTTTGACTGGCACAGCACGAGTTTCCGTAACAAAGTCGGCGACTGCAGTAAAAACGAAATAGCTGATGCGGCATTGGTCGTGTTTACATTTAACTTCACATCGATGCTTTCGCTTGAGTAAGTTTTGGAAAACGCCATAAGCTTAGATGCCGCGTATTTTCGAATTTCGCAAATAGCTAGGGACTGATATTTTTTAACGCTTACACTTTTTAACTTGAAATAATATGATAAAAGTTATTGTTATTAAAAATTAAATCGCAATGACTAGGTTAATAATGTAATAGTAAACGTGTTTAAGTCGAGTTAAATCAAAGTATGATTTAAAAAATTACAATAACAATGAGATGCTTGCTAAATTTGGGAGATCTTACATGGCTAGGGCCTGATATTTGGAGTAGAAAGAAGCGATTTTCGGAAATAAAAAATATTGTGATATAAATCAAAGTGAGTGACCAAATTACATGAACTTTATAATATTGCTTAGTAGTTGCAAATATTCAATAAAATAGATATAAATATGTGAAAATTGCTGCTAACACCAAGTTAACCAAATTTTGAAGAATCACCCATATATATATATATATATATATATACATATATATATACTTAGTAATACTATTTCTTTTCATACCACTTTATTTTTACAGGAAAAATTTCACCATGGACTGGCAGATTTTATTCACTGCTTGACCCGTCATATGCCAAGAACCACATCCCTATTATTGGTTTGTATGGATTTTGAATATAAGAATATTTGTTGTTGTAAAATTAGTGACAAAAAAGCCATAGACATTTTTTTTTCAAACCAACTTAAAAAAAGGAGGCGCTCAATGTGAGTGTGTTTTTTTCTTGTAAGTGACTATTAATCCAGATACTGTATGATTAATGTATAATTTTTTAATTTATAATTTGTCCAGATTGCTGCAATTGGAAGTGTTAAATGTTTTTTTTTAAAATATACACTTAAATTTTTGATAGAATGAGAACAAGGTAAATATATATATATATATATATTTTGTGACTCTTTCGAAAGCTCTTAATTGATGATTGCGGTCCTAAATTTGTAATACAAATACTTTTTCTCTTATCTTTTTTGTTAAGTAAAAAAATGAAAAATAAAGTTTTTTTAATAATAGCCAGACTAATAAAAATAATATTACTTACACAGTAAGTGGTAACTGTTATTAATAATAATGAATTCAATAGAGAATTGACTTTCATTATTCCTTTTTTAAGGCAATCCTATAAAAAAATAAAAAATATTTTACCCCTGAAGATATAATTACTTTAGTCAAATTATTGAAAAACTAATAATAATTAATAATAGAGCTGATATCGAGCTCAGTGGTGTTTCATAGGAGAGACCTATGTCCAGTAGTGGACGAAAGCAGGCTGAATATGATGATTATGATGATGAGGAATAATTATTAATAGACTGTTTTTTTTTCTATACAGCATCTGTATCAGAGCATCAGCCCACATCTTGGTCCTCGTTCTACTTCGACTTGCAAGTTTTGGTGTTCCTGTTCCCCGCCGGCCTGTACTTCTGTTTCACCAAACTGACAGATGCTAATATATTTATTATTTTGTATGGCGTGCTCAGTATTTACTTTGCGGTAAGTGATTAGTTTTTTTTTAATGTTTATATGAGATATTTTTATATGCATTTAGTTAAAACCTGTTAGTTTGACATTACCAATAGATATTTCAATTTTATTTATCTTGACATTAAAGAAGTAATTGGTGCTCTATAACTTTGAAGCCATTAAAAAGAAAAATTAATAGATAAAAAATGAAAGTGAATCATGACTTGTGCGCAATAATATTTAGGGATGTTAGCGGGTGATAATTATTATAATTATATACTATAAGCCACTTGTTGCAGGTTCATCAAAATTGCATCAATGGTTTAGGAATGCATATATGACAAACATATGAACATTCATTTTTATTTATATAGATGACTAGCATTGCCTGCGGCTCCACCCGCGTTCAGATGACTTTTGTATTTTTTCTCAGAAATGAGACATTTTCCCACGGTCAAAAGTATCCTATATGTTGACCCGGACAACCAGCTATAATTATACTAAATTTCATCAAAATCTGTCCAGTAGTTTTCTCGTTATGCGGTAACAGACAGACAGTCAGATAAAAATTCTAAAAACTATAAGATGCGGCCTCTGTATCGATAATAATGTTTATTTCAATAAGATTTTCCAAAAAATGTTTAATGTACAGATTTAGCTTACTTACAATTTTATTATATGTATAGATAATATGATGACAACAGAAGCATTGAGTGCGTTGAGCTGATGTAGAGACCACTCCATCTACTCCGCGCAATGACTCTTACACTTTGATCGCTGAATATCACTTCTTAACCCCAAAATACATTTAAATATTTCCAAAAATACATTATTTTTTATATTTCCAGGGTGTCATGGTGCGTTTAATGTTGGTACTGGCTCCGGTAATGTGCATAGTTTCGGGGGTCGCAGCTTCGAGTCTCTTGAGTTTGCACATCAAAGATATTGAGCCGAAAGTCGAGAAACATGATAAGAAGAAGAAGCATGATAACAATTTGGTGTTCAGATCTGAGGTAAGTGTTGTTTCTAATATAAAATTAAAAAAAATGTATACAAAAAATATATGGTAACTAAACTATAAACAGGCTTGTTGGTTGGTTGGAGTGAGGCTTTACATGATCCCAACTTCCCAATTCAGGGTTGTTACTGAGAATTTCTTGACAGAAAGGCTCTAGTCTGACGAATACATACATGTATACCAGTGATGTGGAAGATTGTCAAAAATAAAAATGTATATCCGTGGATATGAATATGGATCATTAGTGTAAAGATCTGCAAATACGGATACAGATAAAGAGCTCATATAATTAGCTATCTTTCGTAAATGTTCAAACATTTCATTACATTTTTTATTCAGCATACCATAAAGATAGAAGGCTTGTTTGTAATTCACTGCAGTAAATGATTCACCTTTTGCTATACAAATGTGCGAAATATGTGATTTTAAAAAGTGTTAAATAGTACACTTCAAAATTTCATTCGCATTATGAAATATAATGATAAAAAAGATTCGATCAAGATCCGTCAAAAAGTTACGGAAATGGATTTTTTTCTTTCTCGGATATCTGCGGATATGGACATCCGGTGAATTAGTAATATATGGGGCATTCCACGCTTAAACCGGCCGCTTTAGGAAAATTTTTTGAAAAAAGAAATGATTTCTTTTTTGTTTCTTAAAAATCGAAAAAAATAATAATTATGGAAGGCCCACTACCAGACTGCACTTAAAAGTTGCATGATGATAGAAGTTTAAAATAAAAAAAAATCAAAGGATATACACAGTTAAATGTACGCGCGTCTCGATCAATTTTACCTCGCACGTGCAAGATGTGGAATGATCTTCCTCCCGAGGTATTCCCTGAGCGCTATAATATGGGGCTCTTCAAGAGTAATGTCTATAGGTCCCTTAAAGGCCGGCAACGCATTCGCAAGTCCTCTTGTGTTGCAGATGTCCATGAGCGACGATAGCCACTTACCATCAGGTGGATCGTTTGCTCGTTTGCCCCTTTTTTCTATAAAAAAAAAGTTTTAACAATTGATTCAAAAGTCTCGATGAAAATCTTTTAAATATATTTTTTTTTATATTTCTTTATGTAAAGATAATCCAAAACCAAAAATTTTGAAAAAAATACTTGAATTTTGACCATAATTAAGAAAGTTATCAGCAAAAAAACAAAGAAAAAGGTTTTTATTTATTTTATTTACAAGCACCGATCAAAAAAATCTCAAAACTAACCAGGAAGCCTCTTTTGAGAGGTACTAAAAAATACCAAAATATTAAGAAAATCAACCGAATCAAATGAAACCGATTTGGCATGGAATGCCCCATATACATAAATACTCGAGCTGTCGGCGTGTGTGCGCCAGGTGGGAGCACTGTTCGTGTGCGTGCTGGGCTGCCTGCTGGTGTCGTACGTGGTGCACTGCACGTGGGTGACGTCGGAGGCGTACTCGTCGCCCTCCATCGTGCTGTCGGCGCGCGCGCACGACGGCGCACGCATCATCTTCGATGACTTCCGCGAGGCGTACACGTGGCTCAAGATGAATACTAAGGAGGTCAGTATGGTTTTTGGGTGGGAGTGGACATTTAGAGCGACTAAATTAGCGGATTTTCTAATTCTTTTTCTGAAATAGCCTAAGTTGCTCTTTCAAACATCAGCTAGTCCTGTCAAAATCGGTCCAGCCTTTAAGCCTTTAGGAAAAAACCAACAAAAATTTAAAAAATTGATTTTTTTTCTTGTTATTAGTATTGTATATACTTTCATATGTATTTAGTGAAAAGCTGTTATTTTGACGTTACAGACACTTCAATTTTATTTATTTGTATAGATAAACTGGTCAATTTAATTTCAATTTTATTGTTATCTTATTTACTTCACCAATGTCACGTAGAATCATCGATCAAAAAAGTACTATATACACAATCCCATGCAAAAGTTCTCTTAAAACTGTCACCAATTGTGTTTAGGTAATTATTTTAGTTGAAATAAATATACAACAACGTAAATTGAACTTTAAATGCAATGCTTAATTTTCTTTTAATTTAAAATTTAATTTGCTCATTCAGTGAGAACATTTTTTGTCGCTGGTTGTGTATCTAATACTTTTTCCATGCACAGAATGGAGAAGAAAATGAAGTTTAAATTTGTTTTTTTTTTTCTATAATATGATAGGACGCGAAGGTGATGTCATGGTGGGACTACGGCTACCAGATAACAGCGATGGCGAATCGCACCGTGATAGTGGATAATAACACGTGGAACAACACGCACATCTCGCGCGTGGGACAGGCCATGGCGTCGGGCGAGGAGCGCGCCGCCGACATCATGCGCGAGCTCGACGTGGACTACGTGCTCGTTATATTCGGAGGCCTCGTAGGATACTCGTCGGATGGTGGGCGTTTCATTTATATTTAACTAGCGACTAAGTACTAGATACGTTTTAACGGTTAGTATGGAATAAATAGGCTATATCTATACTTAATACTAGCATTGCCCGCGGCTCAGCCCGCGTTCAGATGACTTATTAGTATACTCTTACTCAATTACATATTAGTATACTCTTACATTGCAGTTTTTGTATTTTTTTTTCGGAAATGAGATACTTTCCTGTTGTAAAAAGTATCATATATATTGACCCATATAACTAGCTATCAACATACCAAATTTCATCAAATCCCTACAGTGATTTTTTCGTGATGCGGTAACAGACAGACAGACCGACAGACAAAAAGTCTAAAAACTATAGATTCGGTCTCTGTATCGATAATAATGTCTATTTCAATAAGATTTTCCTAAAAATATTTAATGTACAGATTCAGCTTAGTTACAATTTTATTATACTCGAATGTATAGATTATAAAAGTGAAAGTTTGTGAGTGTGAATTATAAATGTGAATGTTTGTTACTCTTTCACGCCAGAACGCCTGAACGGATCTGGATGAAATTTGGCACAGAGATAGATTATAGTCTGGAATAACACATAGGCTACTTTTTATCCCGGAAAAATGAACGGTTCCCGTGGGATAGGTTTTGTTTGTCTAGAGTTGAACCCGACTGAAGCGAGGGTGAACCGCTAGTTATTATTATCATCCTCCTGCACAGACATCAACAAGTTTCTATGGATGGTGCGTATCGGCGGCAGCACGGAGCGCGGCGCGCATATCCGCGAGGCAGACTACTACACGGGCGCGGGCGAGTTCCGCGTGGACGCGCACGCCGCGCCTGCACTCCTCAACTGCCTCATGTACAAGATGAGCTACTACAAGTTCGGCCTCGTCTACACAGAGGGCGGTGAGTGGATGCTGTGCAATTATATGTATATTTACTTAGATAATTGGTAACATTGATCAAAAAGTTACTAGAACTTTTAGACCTGTTTTGGTCACTGACTCTAAACCGAAAGGCTTTTTGGTTACGTTATTTAACCGGTTAAATCCGGGAACGGTTCTTGACAATTTTAGGTTCTATGAACAAAATTTATCACTTAATATGAGTTTTTGCATGTTTACATTTGGCGCGTCTTTGGTAATGGTGAATGGCTTAGTAAAAGATGCAAGCACGTTTCTTACTTGTGAAAGAATTAGCCGGTTTATCCCGGTTTCAAAACCGAAATTCCACCTTTCTCTAAGAAAAACCGTTAACCATTATTATTTCGTTACTAAACCGGTTAAAGGACGAGCGATGAATTAAACATTACATTACTGAAATAGACCGTTTTTTTAAACGGTTTCGAGTTTTTTGTACACAATCAGCAACAAAGAATGTCCTCACCGAATGAGCGCTCATTTAAACAATTGAGCGCGCTTTTAATTGTAAAAACAACTTTAAGCATCGCATTTAAGATTCAATTAACATTGTTGTATATTTATTTTAACTATAATAATTACCTAATCACAATCAATCAGTGACAGTTAAAGAAAACTTTTATATGGGATTGTGTATCTAGCATTTTTTTGATTGACGATTAGTAACAAAAAAAACCATGTAAGAAGCAGATAACTTAAATTTAGTTTTTATTTTTGCTGTTCAAATATTTGAGTTAAACATAGCAAATTTGCTACAGATTTACCTCCATAAACGAAAATCAGTTGGAGGACATTACAATCGAAATTCAAATAAATCATTAAGAGAACATTTTCCCCCACAGGCCGACCACCAGGATACGATAGAGTGCGCGGCGCTGAAATCGGCAACAAGGACTTCAACTTAGACGTGCTAGAAGAAGCCTACACCACGGAGCACTGGCTCGTACGGATTTATAAAGTCAAGCCGCTTCCCAACCGCGGGCTCTGAGCTCTCCTATTGCCCCAGGCCTCCGCAACCAGCCCTGGGTAGCCCAAGGCCTCCGCAGCCAGCCTTGGGCCTCCTCAGGCCTCCAGCCTTGATAGAATTCATCTACCTCTTCATTCATAATGTACGGATGGTCGGGGATAGTGTAAAATAGCACCTTAAAGAATATACTTTGAAAAATTGTAAAAAAATCTTACACATTTAAATAAAAGAATATTTAGACAATTAGAACTTATTAAAAATTTAGCTTTTTTTTTCTAGGTTTGCAGTAACAATACACGCTTACACTTTTATGTTATTATTAAAGGTGTTCATTCAATAAGATCAGCTCATTAATATTTTTATATTTTTGCTAGATTAAGTTAAAAATGGAAGTTCACGTGGTAGATGTGTTCATATTTCGCAATAAAGATAATAGTAAGGGAGCCCAAGAGGGGATTTTGGGATTTACTCAAGTGCGTCAGATTATCATTAGGGGGGATACCTTGCACTCTGTTGAGTACCTCTACTATAATATAGGACAACAGATCAAAATACTTTGATAAGTTAGAAATACTTGAGCGCGTCAGACTAAGGTGTAGTGGGTTCATAACATGGTGAAAAATATGCAATTCAATAATCTGCCAATTTCCACAAGCTGAAGAGGCAAAAATATATCAAACTTTATGGACGATTTTGATTAAATCCCAAAATCCCCTCTTGGGCTCTCCTATAATATACTATAATATAATAAAAATTTAACACTGTTTTCCAATAAGTGGTATATTGTAAGAGATATTTTGCTTTTACAGCAATAACGTGCTCGATGAAATAATTCAAGTCTCAAAGTTAAAGAATATGTAATTATACCATTTCAGTGATGTAGTGTCACAAATCTTAATAAATTATAGTTAATAATTTGAATGTTAATACTGAAATGTTTCTTACTTTTATATGCAAGTAGATCACGCTAGTACATTTTAAAATTAAGGATTTTTAATCATTTGTAAATTTTACATGAAGTAAGTTTTAATTTTTTTTTTAATTCTTAAGTCGCACAAAAACGACACTGATTGGAGGATAAGTAAATGATTTACATTGAAATTAAATATGAATGAATAGGGAATGTAAAAATTCATTTTTTTATTTGAATAAAATGATTAATTATTATAAAATTGTTTTTTTTTAATTATTTTTCTTTTTAACCTTACAAGACTTCTTAGACTTACAATTGATTTACAAAAAGTTCATCATTTGCATGTGTGTTTTGGTACACCATGAATTATAAAGTTAGGAATATTTATTTTATCTGGATTTAATATTTTTCAATTTAATTAATTTTAGTGTGAATACATCTTTCTAATGCTTCACATGTCACCAACTTGAAGATTAACTTCAAATATATTTTTTTAAATTTGCAACTAAAATATTAAAAAAGTGTAATTAATCCCGATACTTCATATTTATTAAAAAAATTTTATTAACGTTTAATAGATTTCTCAGAGATATTTTCCCGCGGTAAAACCTATCCTATATGTCGACCCGGATAACTAGCTATCATTATACCAAATTTCATCAAAATCTGTCCATGGGTTTTCTTTTCTCGTGATGTGGTCACATACAGACAGACAAAAATTCTAAAAAGTATAGACTCGGCCTCCATATCGTTACTATTGACTACAAATAATATTTGAAATATATCAATAATATTTTCCAAAAAATATTTAATGTACAGATTCGAATCAGTTAGAATTTTATTATATGTATAGATTTTGTTTGCTAATCTCGTTTTTAAATTAAACAAAAATATATAAAAGCAAAGGTAAAATGAAAGTTACAATGTATTTCAGATTTATATAATCAATTCAAAAATTAATTGACAATTCAAATACACCTAAATCAATATTATTCAAAAATATCTTCCTCTCCCTGGTCGGAGCAGTCCTCGGGTTGGAATGTATCATCATTATTGTAATTGTGTTTGTTGGGTCGGAATCTCTTTGGTTTTCTGACTTGATCTTCTGAGCGTCGAGGGCCGAGCTGAAAAATAATTATTTTACATATTATACATATGTAATATTTTTAACACTATCTAGTGTTCAAACAATAGTTGCTGTTCAAGACTAACTTGTGCATTGTGTTCAATAAAAACAGTAATTAAAAAAATAATCTACACGATACTCAAAAAAAATAATGAACAAAGAGATGCATTTCTCTCAGAAAAATATCTACTCCAATCACTTTTATAGGTCGTTCAAAAAACACCAAAATTTAATGTGAAACCTAACCGAAAGCGAACAAACTAAACTAGCCAAAACTATATCTGTACATACAACATAGTACAAAACGTGATAGTAAAGTTTACTGGTCTTTGCTAGATGAGGTTTATTTTTGGTATGAGATGTCTCAAGTATTTATAATTTATTTACATTATTCTTTCAGCAGATTTCATAAAAGATACTTTTTTCCTATTTATTTTAAAGGCTTATATTTCAAAAATATGCCAACCCTAACATACCTTGTATTGTATATTGGACTCGTTTTCCGCACTTAGACTCGCATTTGGTCCGTTGTACGTTGCGAATCCTGGCTAGTTCAGCCAGCCTAGCTCCGTCCCTAACATACCTTAATCTGCATTGTTACATAAACCGGATCCTAACAAAATTGTTTACCATCTTTGTCTCCTCAAAAGAAGGAACTGACAAAATGGTGTTAAAATTCCCTATATCGTAACTATTCAGACTCAATGCTTTAATAAGGTTTTTCCATTGTTGGTTGTACCGACCATCAAAGATATAAACTCACCTGTTGAACAAGTCTGTATGTGCCAACATCATTAAGGAATGCTTCCTTAAAGGCCATATGTAATGGTTTTCTTTTAAAAACTATGCATTGCTCCCTTAGAATTTCTGAAGCTCCATCTGGCAAATCTGGTACATTTATATGATTAATATAATTTTAAAATATTTGGTGTTACTTATACTTGTAACTTTACACATAAACTGTTACCTTTATAAAATACTAGCGACTCACCCTCGCTTCCCTCGGGTTCGTCCCTAGGTTGTTTCCCCATACAAACTTTCATCCCTATTTTCACACCCTTAAGGGGGTGATTTTCCGAAATAAAAACTATCCTATATCCCTCCCAGGGTCTCAAACTATCTTCTTACCAAATTTAATCTAAATCGGTTCAGTAGTTTCGGAGCCTATTCGATATAAACAAACAATCAACATTTTCCTCTTTATAATTTAGAATAGAATATGTTTCTTGAATAATTTATTGTCAATGGATATCAAAAAATATAAATAAAACACTACTACTGCAAATGATTATTTCCTCTGTTATAATTACTCCAAAAAAATAAAACCTTAATGTTAATTTATTTACCAATTTCTTTAAAAGAGTATGTCTTAGGTCTTATATCATACAGCCTGTATTCCAGTATAAGTGTGACATTAAACTGATGTTCTTCTTCCTCGGTGGCATCTTGTGCAAAGAAGGAGATCTCAATGTGTGATCCATCTAGGATTTTGAACATCTCCGCTTCTATATTTAATAATTTCTATAAACATAAATGAGATATTTTATAGTAATTGAATGTTTTTTTGATTATTTTGCTTATATATAAATGGAAGCAACTACATATATCTACAGGAAATTAATGTAATATTTCATTCCATATTTAAAGAAAACTCTAGAATCTATTTTTGAAGTTATACTTCTTTTGGCACATTTGAAACAAATTATGAGAGTAAAATTTTTACGATGCGCGCGCACACCGACAGCCAAAATGCGACATGATGAAGATAACTGCATTCCTTTTATGAACAGAGAGTTGTGACATACGGGATGAAATCTTTAGCTATTTTTGTTACACCAAAAAAGTATAACTTTTTATGTATATAGATGAGTACACAAACACATAATTTTTTTGTTTATTCTGTTTAACTTTATGAATTAAATGTAATTTTCAGTTGAATCCAATTAATAATGATGATGTTCTCCTGACCGAAATCGGCCACGGCGGCCAATCTCATTGAGACTAGCCAACTGCGCAGGAGATATTATAGTGTACAAGTGTACGCGCAGACACAAGTGCACTCTCTATTCCTGTCACTCTCATACTCTGGTGGGACGACCACTCGACACGACCAGTGAGAGTTAAGGCGCAGGACCGACGGCTTTACGTGCTCTCCGAGGCACGGGGGTGAAACACCTCCAACTTCCCAACTCCGGGCTGTTACTGAGGCTTAATATACAGAAACACTCAATAACTAAACTTGGCCCGACCCGGGACTCGAACCCAGGACCTCCGGGTGTGCAGCCGTACATGCTAGCCACTACACCACCAAAGCAGTTAATAATTAGATTAATAATATAGAGTATATTAAAAGTTAGACTCAGTCAAAACTGAAAAAGAAAATTGCTTGTTTGCAAGCTACACATGCATATTGTAAACATTTTCACAATTACAATATTTCATGTAAAAGTTGAGATTTACGTTTATAATTTACCTTTAAAGCTTCAAACTGTTCTATTCTATTATAATAAGCAACTAAACCCCTTCTTATGGCTCCAAGACATTCTGGCATCATAACGTTATCAAAATCTTCCATTATAGCATTAAGATTGAAGCCGACTGGCAATGATGACTTTGAAATTATATTACCTCCTACAAAATATTAAGTTTTCACTGATAAATATTAGTAAATTAAAACAAGCTATTTAAAATGAAAAATCAAAATTGCTTGTTTTCAATATATGTATAACATTTAACATTTACATTTTTCCTAAATGGTTTTGGCAAAATGGTTTTGAAATTCACTTGAAATGTGGTTATTCCATCCTTAGAAGTGTGTATAATCTATCTATTTAATAATAAAAGAATCATTAATTAAATTCAATACACAATTACAGAATTCTATTTTAAAAAATAGTTCTAATTTCTGATATATTTTGTATATTTATTATTCTATAAAAAAAAAAACAATATATATTCTTACATACCAGCATTCATATCAATTCTTAAACCATGTTTAACAACATTTTCTGATTTGTGCTGCATATGATACAACACACAACAATGCTCATTTGCAACATAGGACTGAACTTCCACTCCAGTTAACATTGACATTAGCTCTAAATCTCGATGTAGGCTTTCAACAGAATTAGTCAGAATGATTTTCTAAAAGATTAAATATTCATATAGAGCTTATAGTGAAATTATAATTATTATAATAAATAAAGAAACAAGTACATATTAATTGTTTATTTAATTCTTTGATATAGATTTGAAATTCAACAAGAGATCAATTAAGTATGTAATACTTCTTTGAAACAATTCTACTAATGTATTTAAAAGAAAACCTGTGGTCTAATAAATGATTCCTCTTTCCTTTTTTGTGGGAAAACCTTCTTTCTGTAGCTATTTCTTTGAATTTGAAAAAGTTCATTCTGTTTTTCTTTTAATTTTTCTTCTAATTGTTGTAACTCCTCATGGAGCACATCATTATCGTCTGGCAATTTTGCAACTGAAGCAATTTTATTAAAATTTATAAAAAACAGGCATAAAATGTTTGGAAGATTTAAAAATCATTTATATAATTCAAATCTTACCCGCTCCTTTTCGAAATATCTTTGTTATTTTTAATTGTTTTTTGTTATTTGTCATCGTTCTGCGATATATTATACTTATTTACTTATTTATGGAATTAAATAAAGGAGACTTGTAATTTGTAAATAAGTACGGGCTATGGCTACTCACTATGTGTAACTCAGCTCAGAGCCGGTTCAAATATTCAGTTCACAGTAGCTAGAGCCGTTGAGCTGCGGCTCAGTTGCTAGATAACACAGGTCTGCAACAAAAATGCTGTCTGGATATTTCCAACTGATTTCTATGTATTAAGGTGTTCTGAAAACTAAGAAAATACTCAAAAAATTCCAGAACGTAAGGTTTTTTTACAAAACGCACAATTCTATATAAAGTTGGCGAAAAGAATGTCCTGCATGAAACTTTGGTACCTCCTCATATAGTTCTTCTACCACCGCTTCACATAAAGCTTGGATTGATGAAGCAATTTGTAAAGTCACTTCCAAGAGATGGAAATTGCTTCAAATACTTAATATCAAAGTTTCCAGGCCTCTCGGAGGCAAAGTTGAAGGAAGGTGTTTTCGTTGGACCAGATATTAGACGGCTTATGGCTGATCCACTATTGACACAACCATGACGGATCCTCAAAAAGAAGGATGGATTGCCTTTAAAGAAGTAACAACGAAATTTTTAGGCAATAACAAAGACCCAAACTACAAACAAATCGTCAAAAGAATGTTAAAAGCATTTCAAGCCTTAGGTTGCTTAATGAGTTTAAAAGTACATTTTCTTCATTCCCACCTCGACTACTTTCCAGAAAATTTAGGAGACGTGAGTGAAGAGCAAGGTGAACGATTTCACCAAGACATTAAGGAGATGGAAAAAAGATACCAGGGAAGATGGAGCGTCTCAATGATGGCAGACTACTGTTGGACGCTTCAAAGAGACCTTCCAGATGCTTCCCACAAGCGAAAATGTACCAAAAGGAGTCTCACTGGGAAAAAGAAATGTATTTAGTGCTTATTAATTAATGTATTTTAAATAAAAAAATAGTTTTGTTACGCAATTATAAATTATAAATTTATTTTTCAATTTTTTATGTTTTATTTTACGATAATAACTTCTTTAACATAGACACCTACATTGTCAGAAAACGTGACGTTCTAGGACAAAATGAAAGTTATTTTCGAATTCAGCATACCCAAAAACATAAGAATTCCACATAAAAACCAAAACAGCTCTTACTTATTTTTTTTTTGCAGACTTGTGTAATCGGTTCACAGCTCAATATTACTTAATATGGCTCCGTGCATCACTTCAGCGCCACCTAACGTCAGCTATTTCGAAGGACCCGAGCCGACGGACCTGTACTATAGTCTATAATCTATATTATTATACTCTGCGACGGACGGTATGACATTTCATCGCGACGTAAATATATAATTGCATGAAATTAGCATTCCCATATAATGTGTAAGAACGAAAAAATATGACTATAATAACTTTTTTCGAAATGCTGCTTTATTACATACAAATATAATTTAGGTACATCATACACGTCATTTGTTTGAACAGAGTCATAAATTAGCTGTAAATCTATAGTTATAAGTACCCATACAACATCAATTGAGCTGAACTGTGAGCCGGTTCACAGCTCCGGTTCAAGCATATGACTCATGAGCTGACCTGCAGCTCATAAAAATTCATTGAGTTACCCATGTCTAATGGCTACAGTCTACACAGAAGTCAAAACAACGAGAATTTAAAAATTTGACAGTTAAACAGTAAACACTTAAATCAGAATATGGAAGATATAGGTAAAGAGAGCTATGTATGAAAAATGTCCATCGAAATACTGTAACTTAGAGTGGCGCCACAAAAGCAGCAGGGTGAATTTTGAAAAACCTCCAAAAATATTATAGTAGGATTACATTATCTCACAACAATTTATTAGGTTATATATTTTAGTAATTTATTATGGACTAAGTCATTAAATGAGGTTTTGCATACTGCAGTTTCATTAACTATTCTAGCCACCCAAAAATATAAAATTTTTCAAGTCAGCACACTTTACTCCACCTACAACTGCTAATTCATACCATATCCTGCATCTACACTAGCACCATTCTGAAAAGTTTTTGAACTGTTATTTAACGCTTACAGGACACTTTATCATCTTGTCTCCTGGTAAGATGGTTCTCCTTACCTTTACCCTCCATACTATAGATAGATGATTTCAACACAAGTCTGTGTTTTAATTCCCAATGGACAGTCTATGACTATGTTTAACAATAATCATTTATTGTGTGGTGGGTAGAGTGAAGGACACGTCTCAGTGTATGGAAAAGTGTCCGTCAAAACACGTACAATAAGGGTGGCGCTGCGATAGCGTAGGATAAATTTTAAAGGTAACGCCAAAAGTAATTAAAAGTAAGATAGAGAAATAAACAAGGATTAAATTTATTAAATTATTTTAGAGTCCGTAAATAGTTGAGGTTCTGTATACTGGTATTTTATTAACTACTTTAGTCATTAAAAATTTAAAATTTATGAACTCATACATACTTCATTGTCTGCAACAGCTAAATTCATATCGTAGTTTTTCGTACGCCAGCACCATCTATTTTCAGCATACAGTTACAGTAGCATAAAGTTGGCCATATAATCAGTAACGAGAGACACTTGCCTCAATACAATAATTGAATATTTTTACTGCTTGTAATTTTTACAATTTTGACTCTGAGTATATTTCTATTGATGCTTTTAATAAAATAATATCAATGAATTAATATTTGTAGTAGGCATGAAACTATAAATTAGAATTTTAGTTTATATCATCTAGGTAGGTGAAAAGGATAATCAATGGAGAAAAATATTTTCAAGCAAATTGCACCGATATCTATATGCGCAACATGCGGACGAATTATCATTCTTTATATATAACATTTGATTATTATGAAACTCGTGGCGTTCCGATTTAAAAACATCATCTGATTAGATATTCATTACGTAAAGGAACCGAAATATGATTTTATTAATAGTTGTTTTTTGGAAAAAAAAAATAACAAAAAATTTGAAGGTAAAATAATGTTTTTATTGCACAATCCTCTCACTCCCTCTCGCTCTCCTTCAAATTAAACGTAATTTCTTAACGCCTTAAAAACGTAATTTCTGTCATTTTCATTAAAATACGATATATTAAAAATTATATTTATAGACCAATTAATTTCGTATCTTGTTCAGATAAACGGCCCTCGCTAAGGCGTACTCGCATTCTGTGAAAAAAAAGGAAAATAATACAGATTTTTTGAAAATTGAAGAGAAAAAGAAAAAAAAAACAAATACAACTTATCAAAAGAGGTAATTCTACTGATAATAACTGCATGTAGACATTTTTTACTGCCATAGCAAAGGACTAATTTTTCAAATATCACTTAAAAGTCATTCATCGGTTATAAATTTTTTAATTCATACAACAGAAATTAATAGTTTTTCAATAAAAAATCAAAAGAAAATATCTGTAAATCAATTGTATAACTACCTTTCCTCATTATGCTTAACTGACCACAACTCGGGCATGTACTTAGGGCACATGGAATCTAAAAAGTGCTCTCTCCATAGTTCCTCTAATTTAAGTAAGCCTTCATTCTCTAAATAATAACAAACCACTTTTTGTCCGTGAGGTTCATAGTCTGTGTTCTCATACCTGAAAAGGAAAACAAAATGGCTTATGTAATTATTCTCTCTACTAGCGACTTATCCTGGCTTCGTTCTGGTGCTAGCTATAGCTACGCGGTTCACAATTTCATAGGTTTTATTTTTTTTGCTCGGAACCCTGATTCTTTTTCTAAAATAAAAGTAGCCAAGTTACAGGTATAAAGATATAACATCAGCTATGTGCCAGTGAAGTCAGATTAAAATAGCTCCAGCCGTTTGAGAGTTTAGAAAAAACAAACAGACAGACAAAAATTTACAAATAAATGTTTTTCTCTTATTATTACCATATATACATTTAGTAAACAGCTGTTATTTTGACATTAATAACAGACACTTTAATTTTATTTATTTGTATAGATGTATAGATTCAGAGTAAATAGTGTGTCTAGTCATTAGCTAATGAAACTCTTTTCTAAATTTTATTCATTTTTTTACAGTCCTAAACGAAGCTGTGAATATGTCCACTATCAACTATTAATTTGCCAGAGATGCTTTAAAGCAATTATTTTATTCCAGAAATTATATTATTCCAGCAGTTAATCAAACTCAATTTAATAATGAATGTAATTTTCATTGAAAACCTATTTTATATTTAATAAACTTGTGTATATTTCAAACTTCTGAATTGTGATAAAAAAATTTTAGGAGAAATATTTGTAGAATATAGATTAAAAATACTAACAAAACTTGTATATTAACGGCATCTTGCAACAATTCTTCAGTGACTTCGTCAAATTGTGGGTAGTGCTGTAATAGTATATTTTCTAGATGTTGTCGCCTTGCTTCTGGCAAAGCGTGCTTTCTAGATTGGTACAAGAGTGCTCGTGCTGCTGAACGGATTTTCCTGTATAAAATAAAATTTCATTATTTTTATTTAATTACATTATGATTTTTTTAATAATGTAGACTCAAATATGCTACTAGTGCTCAACTGGCACACTTTCAAGCCATCAACAAGACACAAATGTCAAAATCCAAATCACTCCAATGTCAAAACTGACTTGCTATCCGCGTCCTCTGTGTAACCGGAGCATTCGCGCGTCGCCAGCGGCGCGGAGCAGACGTGCGCGAGGCGCTCGCGCACGGCGCGGTCCGCCGCGTTGCTGCGCTGGTGGCACGCCACGCACAGCAGCAGCACGTCGTGCGACGAGTGGTCCTTCATCACCTCTGTGGATAATGGATATAGCATACACATAGAGAGTGGACCGAATTTATTTGCCAGCTGAAAATGGCGTAAAGCGCGACAGAGACAAAACGTACTTATATACGGATACAGAAGTCTTGTGTTCATGTTCATGGATAACCATTATACATTTCATTATAATTTTCAATAAAATTATATATATTTTTTACATTCCATTTATAAATTTAAATAAGAATAAAAGACAGGAATTGGTATGGTATCTTTCTCTTTTTTAGAGAGTAGGCAATGCTCAGTCTATCCTTTACGTCTATAGATTATGTGCGTTCCTTTAAAATCGTTCGTTTAAATTTCGAACAGAGACAATTTAGACGAAAGAATAATAAAAATAATTCGAGACGAGAATACTTTAAAATTAAATTAAAACCTATGTTATTTCAAGAGAAAAAAAATGATTTCACGAGATAGCTTCGAGGATTTATAAGAACATGTTCATTATTGAATAAATGATTTAATAAAAAATCACAGAAGCTATTTTAATTAATTAATTCTTCTTCATTTTGAAGTGATCATAAATATATTTAGCCGTTTTTACATCCCATTGCTGGGCACGGCCCTCACTTTATTACAAGGAGGAACAGACCATAGCCCATCACGCTAGCCAAACACGGATTGGCGAACTGCACATCTTCCAAAAACGTCTACAAACTTTAGACATATTCAAACTATAAAATATACTTACCAGGAAAATATTTCCTATACTCTCTAGGTACCACATTCTTCCTTATGTACGAGTCGTTAGCGCCACAGACGACACATTTGTTCTCTTTCTTCAGTTGGTAGTACCGACCGACCTCGCCCACGGAGCGCCCCGCCGGCTCGAATCGAAGGCGAACGGTTAAAGGGTCTTGTATCACTATGTCTGCTAGTTCCTTTTCCACATACCTGTTTCATAATCAACGAATCAAACCATTAATTATTATTACGAGCTGTTTCTTTCAATTTAGACTCCTAACCCCCTTGATTGATGAGATTTAGTGAGCCCCTCCTCAACCCGAGAGATTATCCTCTCACTTGAAATGAGATTTGATGACATTTTACTGGATTAACCCCCACTCCTTATTTTGAACACACATAATTAAAAAGTTAAAAAAGTACCTCAACCTCAAAATTACTTAAAAATGTAAAATAATCAATTAGTAATTACATTTAAACTTAGTACACAGATAAACGATGACTTGAAGTGCACCTGAGTAAGTTCTAAGTTTCAAATAAAAAACATACCATAAGGCCTTCTTGTTGTCGCAAGTGCAAAGCAATTCTCCATCAGGAGCTTGCAAGAAGCAGTTATGGTATAAAGGTTTAGAGCGAGTCGCTGGCTGGTACTTTTTGGTTATAACTATATCCTTGCCTTTGATATCTTTTTTCTTATATCTGAAAATAATAAATCAGTTTTTACAGTTGCTTAGTTACTGTGATCCATTCGGACCCTTTTGATATGGAATTTTATATATGAATACCTATCCTTATTTTATTATCCTCTTGAAATAAAAACTCTTTTTTTAAGTAGACTATAAAGGTTGGACACGCACATGTACAATGTAGTATATATTATATCTAATAAAAGTTCCAGTACTAAGGGTACTACTTTTTAGTAAAAAAAACTGTGTGTGTACTTATTTATGTATGCACGTAAGAAGTTATACTTCTTTGGCATAATAGAACAAAAATAGCTAGAGATTTCATCCTGTATGTCATAACTCTCTGTTTTTAAAAGGAATGCAGCTAACATCACCATGTCGTTTTCAGCTAACTTCATAATGTCGCTTTTTGGCTGTCAGTATGCGCGCTCACCGTGAAAATTTTACTCTCAGAATTTTTTCCAAACGTGCCAAAAAAAGTATAACTTTAAAAAGTTTTTTTTAGAATATTCAAATTCAACTCTTATAGTAAAATTAAAAAAAAACAAACAATATACTGAAAAAGTATGGAATATCTTTAAAGATAAATCTAGAAATCACATTTTACTTTTATAATATAAGGTAAATTAACTTACTCATAATATTTGTCTTTTTTCACACTTTTAGTTTTGTAGCAAATATCAGTATATTTCCAGCATAAATCATTTAAATTACTCCATTGACTAGTATTATTTCTAGTTCGCCACCAAAAAGAAGTTTTTTTTAAATGGTAATCAGTGATCAATTTTACAAAAATCTTAACAGCAACATGAGCATCTGCCGCCGCATATTTGATTTGCCGCTCTGTAAGTTCTTCTGCCTCCCAATCACTGCAACGGATCTATGAAAATAATATTTCTATTGAATACTTCATTTTAAACTTACAATTAGTAATATTTTTTTTAAGTAAAATATTGTTAGTTTAAGCACATTATGCACAAGATAAGAATAATATTATTTTTTTGTGCCTAAATATGTGGATATATCACATAGATCACAAATGGCATAGTCCAGTAGAAAACAAACAAAAGAATTAAAGTTTAGAACTGAGACTCTCTTAATTAGTTTTCTCAAGAGTACAGATAGATTTTTATGGATAGATTTTTTATGGATTTTTTTAGCAAAATATATTTATTTAGATTATCTCATCATATTAAATAAGCTATTCTCGTATACATATATATACATTTATTTTGTGTATCTCAGAAACAGTTCTCAGTTGGTCGATTTTGCTCTTTAAGTTTACCTATATAGGTGTCTTTTTCTGAAAATACACAATTTTTATATCTTTTTTGAACCACACAGAGCAAAGATAGGTCACCCAGGTACTATTTTTAATATGTAGAGAATGAAAAAACTTACTCTCCAGCTTTTATCCAAGATGACACCTAACATTGATTTAGATAGTGCAGCCAGACCACCAGCTTCATAATTACACAAAATAGCTATATGCCTTACATCCAAAGTTCCTCTTAATTTAACTCCATAATCATAGGCCAAGTACTTTGCATCATCTGCAGGAGCGACACCTACTTTGTATATATTTTCATCTTCTAAGATTTCCTGAAATTTCAATATATTATTATAAAAATTATTATCATCTAAGGCCAAATAATATCTACTGCTAGCTCTAGACTTATGTACCTTTTATTTGATATTATACTCGGAGATATTTTTGTTTACATCTGGTCAGTTTCATCAGGATTCACTACTTTGAATAAAATTAAAATGGCAGCAAGTGGCAAATACTAGAGAAAAATGTTAAAATCCCGTAATACTTCAATTAATAAATATTTTAAATTGAAATATAGTTTCTAATATTTTGAAAATAATTTATATTATATTATTATTAATAGGGCAAATTAAGCACAAGAAAAGTCCTTAAAATAATAATGGTGCTAATGCATAGTCTAATAAAAAAATTTAAAAACATTAATAAAATATTACATACAATAATATTTATTACCTTTAAGCCTTGTGGAACAGCTTTCATTTGGGAAAGTCTAAACAACCAACAATGTCCATCCAAAGTAGATAGTTGTAGTAACGCCACAGGGGATCTTTTACCTTGAACGGTGACCCATTCACAGTCAAAACCTATAGCATGGTGTTCAGCACTGCGACTAAAATAAATTACACAAAAATAATATTATTGATTTTGTTGGTATTGTTTGATTCATAAGCAGGCGGCCGTTTAGAATTGGGGACTTGGCCCCTAGCGGAGTGGGTGGTATTTCTGGATAAGGGACGTGATAGGGAGTCGAAATGTTAAATAAATTTTTTAATACAACAAAAGAGTCAAAAGTTATTGAGACTTAAAGTTATAACATTTCCATACATTATTTTGACATTACTACCATTTAGACACTTGGAGTCAAAACGTCACTTTCAATTGTCAAAATGATCTCCAGATGATTGTCTTTATTTGTACTTTGCGTGAAATTCGAATTTTCTAGTTTTCTAGTCATTTATGGCACTCGCCGGCCGCTACCGCGGCACGCTCGCTTCGCTCGCTCGGCTCGTGCGTTGTGGCAACTGTTCTAACCTAACCTAACCAAGATATGACGAATAATTAATAAATAATCTTAAATGTTCTAACCTAACCTAACCCAGATATGAGGAATAATAAATAAATAATCTTAAATGTTCTAACCTAACCTAACCCAGATATGAGGAATAATAAATAAATAATCTTAAATGTTCTAACCTAACCTAACCAAGATATGACGAATAATTAATAAATAATCTTAAATGTTCTAACCTAACCTAACCCAGATATGAGGAATAATAAATAAATAATCTTAAATGTTCTAACCTAACCTAACCCAGATATGACGAATAATAAATAAATAATTAAAAATATTCACAGATAAAAAATGATTTTTTTTACTAAATGTACAATTGTAAAACAATATATTTTACATAAATCAAATAAAAAGTTATAAATGTATTTATAAAGTGAAAATAATATTTTTCTTTTTATTTATTTATTTATTAATATTAATATTTTACCAACAGAAAAAGCAAAAATAATCAAATATAATCTGTTGTCATTTAAGCGGTAATATAAAACAAAGTGTCAGTTTTGCTTTTGTCAAAATGTAAGATCATTTTGTTTGTGTTGTGAAATTATTAAAATATTAAATACAATAAAGCATTAATTGTTGTGAAAATGTGTAATGTACATAAAAAAGGATGCGTACTATTCGTTAAAGGTATGTTTATCTGTTGTAATCACTTATTTAGGTAAAGAAATGTATGGAAATGTGTTAGATATGTTATAACTTTAAGTCTCAATAACTTTTTAGTCGTACGTTTCCTCCAAATATTTTTAATATATTTTGACTCTCTGTCACCTCCCCTATCTAAAAATACCACCCACTCCGAATGGTGGTAAAGAAATATATGAAAATGTATGGAAATGTTGTAACTTTAAGTCTCAATAACTTTTGAATCTTTTGTTGTATTAAAAAATTTATTTAACATTTCGACTCCCTATCACGTCCCTTATCCAGAAATACCACCCACTCCGCTAGGGGCCAAGTCCCCAATTCTGAATTTGTGCCCATAAGCATTTATATAAAAGATTTATAATGCAGACCTTGTTATCATTTTTGTTTACTGTCATCTGGGCTGTATCTTTTGTTTGATAATATTAACATTTTATTCGATTTTTCTCACTCATTGAGGACCCCAAATAGTAAATGTTTTCCCATTTAAACTTCGGGGTGTCCAGAACTTTGACTACTGTTATATTTACAAAAGTTAGTGTATGTCTTTGTTCTTTCTTCACCTTTACAGACAGGACACATTTAGATGAAATTTAAGAAATAGTCTATGATCTGGAGACATTGGCTATTGTCTGGTATCCAAGGGCGCACCAGGGTAAAACGAGGGTACATCGCTAGTATGTTATAAATATATGACAAATAATAAATACTCAATGAAGGGTGTTTTAATTTTATTTTTATTTTAAAAAATGTAAATACCCAGTCATTATATACGTGTATGATGTGACACGACACATTGTGCAACACGAAAAATAAGAATAACATACCTCCGCAAATCAGCAATAATTTCTTCACATTCTTCTTCGGTCGTTATAATTTTAATTGTGAGATAATTAAGCACATCTGCCGAATTCCGCAATTTTGTCCTATGTTTAAGAACTACATAGGTAATGCCGGCACAACCAAGTGCAATTGCAGAAGTTAACCCGACTTTTAATTTCATTGATACTGACATTATATTAATTGTACTTTTATCAAAATAATTTAATAATTTAAGACCTTCTTTGATTTAATTTATAAAATTATAAATTCTAAGCACAAATAAACACAAACTACATAGAGATGCTACGCACAATTCACAAATAAACAACAAAGTACAAACTATAGTGTTGTTTATTCACAGAACACAAATACTCCTAACGGAGTTGTGTCATGTGTGTTTATTGAACCGTATATCATAGACCACCAATCTAACAACAAGAAACCGTAATACTTTCTTAGATTTAAAACAAGAAACCGTAAAAGCTGGCGTCCACTAGGGTGCCGAGTCGAGGTGAATCGAATCGCAGAAATTCACCTCCTATATATTTACTATGAAAGTATGAAACTGTGTCCATTAGCGACGAATCGCGGCGCGCCAAATCGAATCACCCGCGCCCATTGCTCATCAGGCGAATTTCTTCGGCGACGCGTTTCGACTCGATTCGGCGACGGCGCACCTTTAGCCTTATCGACGCGGGGAATCGCACACATGCGCACCGGCGAGTTTTTTGGATTTTATTTAAAGATTATGTCATATTATATCACTATACTATTATACTGTATACTAAAGATTTACCCTCGTTTCGTACGGGTTCGTACCTAATTACGTTTTTTTTTGCAGAAGTCTACTTCTTTTTCTAAAATAAAAGTAGCCTTAGTTACTCCTTATAACATCAGCTATCTGCCAGTGAAAGTCTGATCATAATCCGTCTAGTCGTTTAGGAGACTAGGTGGAACAAACAGACAAAAATTTAAGAAATTACGTTTTTCTTATGAGTACCGTATATAGTTTCATGTTTATTTAGAAAAAAACTGTTATTTTGAGATTACAAACAGACACTTAAATTTTATCTATCTGTATAGGCTTTACTACACTTTAGAGTTAAGAATCGAAGCGCATTACGATCGATACGAGTTGCGATAAATGAGCAATTCAATTTGATTCGGTTCAGATGGACGCACAAGGAATAAAATGCGATTCGAGTCGACTCGCTTAGATTCGACGCCGGACGGCGGCGGACGCGTTTCTGCTGTAGGCGACGCCAGGCTTAACACCAACTTTAAAGAGATGCTATGAAACCGTAAGTTCCCATAGAGTATGTAACCTTTTTAGTCATCATTATTATTCTAACCATGGATGACAAATAAAAATTCTAACTACTAAAGTATCTCATAGTAAAAAAATATCTTCATTCTTGACCCCGTTGTTTTACTTTTAAGTAGAACTAAGCAAGATACATTCCATCGCATTTACAATATGAATAGGGATAATATTACTGCTACTTATTGTTGATTTGAAGTAAATAAGAATTTCACTTTAAAATTTAAATATATTTAAGTATACTGCTTATAAATTTTTTTATGTTCTTACTTCCTAGCAAAAAGGTTACAGATTATTAAATTGATAACTCCTGTATATGTCAAATTATGTCAAATGTCAATTCACAATTGTCAATAGGTCAAACATTGAGCGCAAATAAAAAAGTAAAACGTAAATGTGCAATTAACTCTTAACTAAAATAAAATATTAAGTGAACCCCGAATTATTGATAATATAAAAAGATTGTTATGGCAAGAGATCGAAGTACTGAACGTCGAAGATCACGATCTCGCGAACGTCGTGATCGAGATCGAAACGATGATCGCGATGCTCATAGGGACAGGGTAAAACGTCGTGAGCGATCAAGAAGTCCTCGAAAAGAACGTGAAAGATCTCGTAGTCCAAGTAGGAAAGAAAGAGAACGTTCTCGTAGTCCTAGAAAAGAACAAGATCGTCCTAAAAGCCCACAAAGAAAGGAGCGTGGCCGGTCCAGAAGCCCGAAAAAACGAGATGGAAAAGAACGCCGTAGTGACGATAAGGATAAATTGAAATATAAAAAAGATGATGACTCTAAACATGAAGATGAAGAAACAAAAATGGAGGACGATCAAGCGAAGCCAACTAAACGAGAACCTTTATCATTGGAAGAGTTATTGGCAAAAAAAAAAGCAGAAGAAGAGGCGCGAAGTAAACCAGTTTTCTTAACAAAAGAACAAAGAGCAGCTCTAGCTTTGGAAAAACGTCGTGAACAGGTTGAAGCTATGCGAGCTAATATTGAAAGACCTGCTGTTACAACTATTGATTTAACAGGAACTTCTAAAAAAGATGATGATAAAAAATATAGGGAGGAAAGAGAGAGAGAACGAGAGAAGGAAAGAGAACGCAAATACGAAGAAAGAAAATCTGGAAATGAGCGTAATAGAGAAGATAAAAAAGAAAAAAATGAAGAATACAATAAAAATAAAGACAAAGAGCGAGAAGAAGAAGCTATTAAAGCACGCTATTTGGGTATAGTGAAGAAAAAACGGAGAGTGAGAAGGCTTAATGATAGAAAATTTGTTTTTGACTGGGATGCTTCTGAGGATACTTCAAATGATTACAATGCTTTATACAAAGACAGGCATCAAGTCCAGTTCTTTGGTAGAGGACATATTGCTGGTATTGATATTAAATCCCAAAAGAAGGATTACAGCAAGTTTTATGGAAATCTATTAGAGAAGAGAAGAACAGAGTTAGAAAAGGAACAAGAAAAATTAAGACTCAAAAAAGTAAAAAAGAAGGAAGACAAGCAAAAATGGGATGATAGACATTGGTCGGAGAAAGATCATGATGAAATGACAGAAAGAGATTGGAGAATCTTCAGGGAAGATTATAACATAACAATAAAAGGTGGAAAAATACCAAATCCAATTCGTTCATGGAAAGAAGCTGGCTTCCATCAGGATATAATGGAAATAATTAATAAAGTGGGTTATAAAAGCCCAACACCGATTCAAAGGCAGGCTATTCCTATTGGATTACAAAATCGAGATATCATTGGTGTCGCTGAAACTGGATCTGGTAAGACCTTGGCCTTCCTTATTCCTTTACTTACATGGATCCAATCATTACCTAAAAGTGAGCGTATGGAAGATGCTGATCAGGGACCCTATGCAATTATTTTAGCCCCTACCCGTGAATTGGCTCAGCAGATTGAAGAAGAGACTAACAAATTTGGCATACCTTTAGGTATTACTTCTGTAGTAGTTGTGGGAGGTCTGTCAAGAGAAGAACAAGGTTTTAAACTCCGACTAGGTTGTGAAATTGTAATTGCAACACCTGGTCGTCTTATTGATGTACTAGAAAATAGATATTTAGTTCTTAATCGTTGCACATATGTCGTTCTTGATGAGGCCGATCGTATGATAGACATGGGTTTCGAGCCTGATGTACAAAAAATTCTGGAATATATGCCTGTGTCTAACATTAAACCAGACTCAGATGCGGCAGAGGATGCTTCGGTTTTGCTTGCAAATTATAACACAAAGAAGAAGTACAGGCAAACTGTGATGTTTACAGCTACTATGCCCCCGGCTGTTGAAAGGCTAGCTAGAAGTTACTTACGTCGACCGGCAATTGTCTATATCGGATCAGTTGGCAAACCAGTCGACAGGACTGAACAAATTGTATTCATGATTGGTGAGAACGAGAAACGTAGAAAGCTTACCGAAATCTTACAACGTGGCGTTGAACCACCTATCATTATATTTGTTAACCAAAAGAAAGGGGCTGACGTTCTTGCAAAAGGTTTGGAAAAACTCAGCTTCAATGCATGTACTTTGCATGGTGGAAAGGGACAGGAACAGCGTGATTTTGCTCTGGCTTCACTGAAGAATGGCTCTAAGGATATATTGGTGGCAACTGATGTAGCCGGTCGTGGTATTGATATTAAAGATGTCAGTATAGTTATTAATTACGATATGGCAAAGACAATAGAGGACTACACTCACAGGATCGGTCGTACTGGTCGTGCTGGCAAAACTGGTAAAGCAATATCATTTGTGACCAAAGAAGACTCGGCTATTTACTATGACCTAAAGCAAGTGTTACTTGCTAGTTCAGCATCTACATGTCCACCCGAACTAATGAATCACCCTGAGGCTCAACACAAACCTGGTACAGTTGTTACCAAGAAGAGAAGAGAGGAAATGATTTTTGCATAATATTAAATGCTTTTATATTTAAAATTAAACACTGTGTTTCACTTATACTTTTATTAACTTCATTGTCATAGAATAAGTTACACTGCAGATATAATAAATATGATTTCTAAAGTTTCTTCTGTTTTATTTCTTGTTTACGTTTTATTGATCTATTTCATTAATTTCAGTATTTAAATAACCTGAAAAAAAAACTATATTAATATTTATTGATTTGAAGTATTCTTTACACCAAAATTATATTAACTTAAAGATGCATGCCTTATAAAAGAAATTATACCGCTCAAATAGACCATTATTGCACGCCATGAGTATGCTGCCAAGCTTAGCGGAGGAACCAACCAAAGAGTGAATGAAAAACTAATTATTAGTGACAAAAAGAATATTAAAAAGTTGATATAAAATACATATCTAATAGAAAGAAATATTCAATCAGAGATGATAATTCAGATGTAAAAACAATTATAACTATATTTAGATTTTTGAACATATTTGTCTTCAAGTAAATATTATCAAATCATATCCAAAAGTGCCTTCTGACGGTTATTCTGTCTTTGGTGTAAATAGTTAAATATTTATACAGTGTAATAAGTAAGTAGTAAGATAAGTGGTCTAATTTAAGTCACGAATAAGAGTTACTTAAATGCGGATTTAGGTCACATAGTACTATTTAAAAAAAAATAAAAGCTTACTATCAAGTCAAATATATTCATGACAAATGAAAAAACCTGCAAATTAAACATAAAGCTTATTTAAGATTTTCCTCACATTAATAACATACAACATTCTATATATTTCAAGCTATACAGTACAAAATTACATGCATCAATCTTTCTTTAGTTAATATATATAGTTAATATATATTCTTTAGTTAATATATATAGAGCTAGATAAATAAGCATTGCCACCAAAGCGAAAACAAAACAAACCAACATTCATACACCTGTACCTATTCTTTATGATCTGATGGTTTTTCATCTTTAGATGGTGGAGGCATTACTGCCTGTTTGACAGATGAAGCCACAGATACTGTCAAGTCTATAAACTCAGAAAAGTCTTTTGGTAAAGACAGCTCAGGAAATTTTACTTCCAGTTGAGGGTCCCCGGGTTTGACTACATAAATAAAAAATAAACAACCAAGTTTCACTTTAACAGAGTATTATGTTCTATTGACATATCATTTACTAATATATATTAGCAAATAAAAATATTACCTACCAATTTAATTTATGACCTTATTTTAACAATTTTATAAGAATACATTTTTTACATATATAATTTGAAGTAGAATACATTTAGTATAGATTTCTTAGAGATGAGATATTTTCCCGCAGTAAAAAGTATCATATGTTGATTAGGATAACCAGCTATCATCATACCAAATTTCATCAAAATCTCTGCAGTTTTTCCATGATGCGATGACAGGCAGACAGACAAAAATTCTAAAAACTACACATTCTGCCTTTATATCGATAATAATGCCTATTTCAATAAGATTTTCCAAAAAATATTTAATGTACAGATTCAGCTTAGTTACAATTTTATTATATGTAGGTATAGCTAAAGATTAGTTAAATTACCTCCATAGAAGAAGTTATAAGCAATATTGATATATTGCTTAATTAGAGAACCATTATTCTTCATAATAACTTTTGTTTCTTCAGGGAAGCATATGTAACCCATACCAGTTGTACCTAAGCCAGCATAGAACAGTCTCTGAAATAAAGAAAAGCGGCTAATAAATAAATATAAATATTGCACCAGACTGATGCATTATTTAATAGATGGGTTGGTTGCTGGATGCTAATGAGCCCTCAACCATGACAAGGTGAATGCATGTTAGGGGTTCAATCAACTTCTTTAATCTAACCTGTTACCAATAATTTGTTAACAGAAAACCAATTACTATATGTGATTTGAGTGACCTGGATTACACTATGAGGCATTTAATGTTAACAGCCTTAATGAAAGATGATAACACTGTAACACTAATAATCATAATATGTATATATTAAATTAAAGATTTAATATTTCATACAACAATAAGAAGTATATTTGAATAAAATCATACCCTAATAAAACCACCCCTCAGTCCAAATATGAATCCAGTTAGACCACCCATTGCCACAGCTCCATATCTTATTTCTTTATTTTCTTCTTCCCTTAGGTATTGGACAATCCCTATAATTATTAACTTAAGCATGAAATATTTAAAAAATATTTTTATAACTTTTAAATTTAAAAATATGATAAAGACAATTGATAAAAATATATTAGAATTTTAATCAAGAATGATTTGAGTATATATGTAATATATAAAAAATGTAACACACATTCACTCCTATCACGTAGCTCAGAGTAGTTATCTTTGACAGTATTTGTGACTGATTCAGTGTGAGCACAGGCTGTTTGTACTTGTTCCCTCACTGCCCGAACTGGTAACAAGAGCACTGACTGCAAGTAACTGCTCTTTTCCTCGCTTGCTTTTGATTGTAAATACCTTTGAATATATTTGAAAAAATTACATAAATTTATATTGGCCTCGTTAATATAAGAGGTCAATACATTATCTTTACGAAACAATATTTTTAAAACGATACCAGATAGCTAATTGTGTTATTAAACACATTAATTAAGGTTATAAAAAAAAACGTTTTAATGACATACTCTCCATAGTTCGCATGTGGGGCTTCATAAATGGGTAATTCAGAGGGTTTCATAAGCGGAGGTCGTTTTGGTTCAATTGAATCCTGTACTGGAGTTGCTGCACTGACACTTGGTATCAATGCTATCAGCCCAGAACCAACTACCACTTTTCGAATCATCTGAAAAATAAACTAGTATAGAATCAAAAAATTGTAATGTATGTATTGTATGATTTGTAATGTAATACAAAAATAAGAAATGGAATTAGAATGAATAAAAATACCTTAATACACTGATTACAATTATTAGTTACATAAATAACAAACAGTTTTTGATAATTTTTGCTAATCAGCTGCTCAAAGTGACATTGATATGACAGTTGTCATGACATTATGTAATGTACCCGGATACACGTAAAAGCAAATATTTATAGCCAATATCCTCCACCTTCTTCTATTTCCCAAGAAATAAATATAACCATATATTTTTTTATTTAAAAAAATACGCCGATGCGTTCGAAGGTATTAAAGAAATATTTTTAGAATGTATAATAGAAATTTTAGCATGTAACAAAATTTAAAAAATACGGATTTTTGCTTGTAGCTTCGATGTCAATGTCAAACTTACTAAATCCTAGATTCATTGCTCGGTATTCCAAATCTGTCATTCATTTTCTTACAACGTCTTTGTCTTCACTGTGAAACCGTGATTTTTGTGCACATTCTAAAAGTGAAAATTATTATAACCTTATACTTCATAATAAACATTTATATAAATTCAAATTTTATAATTAATTTATTGATGATTTAATTTTGATCGGTGCCAGTGCGATATCCCTACAAAAGTATTCTGTTGTTTCCTATGAATGGTAATTGTTTAGTGAAATTTTACTAGTTTAAATTTTAAAATGAGAGGAGTGCGCGTCGGGCGCGTTCCTAAGCGCCGAAGAGGCCACCGTGTGAAAACTCGGTCAGGTAAAGAAGGCTCGCATGTTGCTGCTTCGCCGCTAATACTCTGCGGATTTGACTTTGCTTGAAAGGCCTAAAATAGAGTAGTGCTTGAATGAAATATCATTAATGGGTTTACAATACGGTATTATTTGCCGCCACCTTCTCTCAAATTTGGTATTGAATAAATACATTATTGAAATTGGCCTAAATCCCCTCATTTCCAATATGATATGCTAATAAGCCTTAGTAGATTTACATTTTTATTACTTTCTCATACTTTGAAATATAAGAGAAATTTCTGTACTCAAATTTCATGTATTATTGATGTTGTACATATTGTACATTTTTTCAAAAGCACCTATAAGTTGTGATAAGTTGTGATTTTTATTAGAAACTTCCATAATTTAGTGAGTGAGAGTAATGTAGTTTTTATCATCTAAATATTATATTTATAAATATTATATTTATGATAGGTACTATTATTTTTGATTTATGTTAAAAATGTTGAACCATATAAGTATATTTTTTATTAATAGCTTTAGTTATGGGAATATTTTATTAAATATTTTGAGTCTGAATAGCACAGATTTTAAGCAATTATAGCATATAGACTATTACTGCCATAGTAATTTCACAGTCATTTTGGATTCAGTAGATGAATGTGATAAAATCATGATGATATCAGTATGTTAATAGAAGCTTATCATGCAACATGTGAATGATTGCATATAATATTAATGAACTTTCTGTAACTAGGTTTGTCTATTTAATTTCTAAAGAAAGAAAATTAGAAAGTATTCATTCTATAGATAATAATTTAATAAACACCAAGGTGTTTATTTTTTCCTTACATAGTCAATAATAAACAAACAATATTATATACTACAAGTGACACGAACATTTTGAAGCAATTGTTTTTTTATAAAAATCATTAATATAAGATGGCAGCAAATAATACTATGTTATATCATCATTTTATCAATGCTTTATAAGAATTTTAACAAGAAATTTGGTTTTTTACTAACATCAAATTACATTGATCCAGGATATTAAGGTGCATGACATAGAGTGATGACGTAATCCTGAAGCATCAAGGTTCACAGACGGAGATCTTTGGAATGAAATGGTATACAACCATTATATTTCATAATATATATAAATACTTAAGCGTTTTCACAATTGAACATTTGAAATAATACTGAATGTCAATAAAAAAATTACCTATAAAAAATTGAAGCTTCCTACTTGTTAAAAAAAACACTTCTCAAGAATTGTAGAAAATTTAAAGTAACATTTAGTATTAATTCATTTTACATTGTACTTAACTGAATTATTTTTCACACCACAATTTGTATCAAATCCATTGTTAGAGCTAAAGTACCTATAGATTCACAGACTTTTGAAGTTTTGAGTCATCAGTGAATATCAAAATTAAGACAATATATTAATTAAAACAAATTTTATTACATTGCACAATTTTATCTAAACACCAAAATATATTTTATTAATCTTTATAATATAAATATGCTGTTTTTATATACTAAATTTTTTATACTAACTGACATTTTAATATTTGTGGTGATACCTACACTTATTTTGGTGTTAGAAATTGTTGTGGAAATTTAGAGGGCATGCTGTAAGGCTAGAGGCATAATCAATATTAATAAAAAAAACAATAAGACTTCATAATAGGGATTTGCAGTTACATTGTAATTAGAACAAACACAATATTGCTTGTATGCAGCTAGCCTAAAGTTTGTTTTACACTTGCATGGATCTTGGGTTTGAAGCTGTCCTTATATTTTCTTGAATCTTCGATGAATCTTTTCCACAACTAACATTTAGTTCTTAGTTAAATTCTTTCAGTACAAAAATGTTGCGTCAATTATTCATTGCCGCGACAGCTATTATCTGAGTCGTGAAAGGAAACTTTGTTAATGCATTGAAACAGTGACCCATTAGCATAATAATCACGGCACACTCTAGCAATTATGACGCTTGCTTAACTGTGAGCGTGAGTGCCAACAAGTCTTCCTCGGTCTTTTCAATTTTAATGTGAAATTAGAATGTAACTTACATCTATAATATAATCAAGAATGTATATCTACACTAATATTATAAAGAGGTAAAGTTTGTGAGTTTGTGACGTTGTAGGGGGTAATCTCTGGATCCACTGAACCGATTTATATGAAATTGGGTAAGAAAATAGTTTGAGACCCTAGGAAGGATATAGGTTTTTTATCCCGGAAATCATCCCTTAGAGGGGGTGGGGGGGTAATGGGGGATGAAAGTTTGTAATGGGAAGCAAGCTAGAGACAAACCCGAACAAAGCGAGGGTGAGTCGCTAGTTATACTATATAGAGGTTTCAATAGCAGCTGTTATGCGGAGTAGACGACCGATCATATCAGCGGGGTGCGACCCTGGGTTGTAAAGAAATACTGCCATTAGACCTGACCTTAAATTATGTAAGATTGTTTCGTTTAGGTACAAATATTATTACTTCTAATGATACTATCCTTTTATAGCTATATGATTGTATAACTTTAAAAAAGTGACTTCAATGCAACCTAAAAAGTAATTAGAGATGAAATGGTTCAAATTATAAGAAACTAACAGAACTCGCGGCTTCGCTCTCGCTAAATCTCCAAAAAATACTCTAAAAATGTAGGTTGCATACAAATTTTCATCCCCTATTTCACCCCCTTGTGAATTGAATTTTGAAAAATCCTTCCTTAGTCTGCCTGCGTCATAAGAGAAATACGCGTGTGAAATTTTAAGTTTCTAGCCCTAAGCATTTGGCCTGTGCTTTTATTTAAAACTTTAATCACCTATTTTAACCTCTTAGGGGTTGAATTTTAGAAAAAGCTGAAGTATGGAACTCATTATTTTTGCCGCATTCAATTCATACGAAATTTCATGCATATATTTCCAAGAAATAAGAATTTTCATACAAACTTTTATCCCCTATTTCACCCCCTTGAGGGTTGAATTTTATAAAATCATTCCTTAGTGGATGCCTTTGTTTTATGAGGAATACGTGTGCAAAATTTCAATTTTCTAGCCTTAAGGGTTTGGTCTGTGACAGCGGAGGCTTAGTAATAGAGTTCCGTTGGCACCCTTCGGGTACGGAACCCTTATTATGATAATTAAAATCGATTGAATGTCGGTAAAGATATTGCGTAACATATAAACATATGTACCTACGGGTAAACAAATTTAGCTAAAATACAGTTACAAAGTTGTAAGAGGAAATATGAATTCATTTGTAGCCACATTACCATGCCGTCTCGAACCGCAACTTATTTAGGAATGCCATCACAGACATTTAAGCGATTACATTTTACAAATATAATTTAAGAAACAGGCAGAGGTTGATAGATTTTCTCTTACAGACAAATTATTTAGGGCGCTCGATCCCAGTGGATATTATATTACTAGTGTTATTTCTATTTTTTCAAGACACACAAATTAGCGCCTCAAATCCGCCATTTTGAATTTTAATGATATATCTATATAACGCTATGACAATAACGAATCTAATGGCGTATGAATCATCATAATCAGTTAAGCCGTTTAGTAATTACGAGGAAACATAGGGTCGGACATACATACATACAGGTCAAATACATAACCCTCCTTTGCGCTTCGCCGCAGTCGGGTAAATTAGCCCCGCCTGACTCATTCGTATAACGTCGATGTATCGAGTTCAGTTATTTCTACTTATTACTTATAAATGTGTGCTCATTTATTAATTAATATTTGTTTATTAGGAAATTAAAAGGGCGAGGTATTCGGTAGTAGAATTGGAAGTGTTCGCAATGATATTGTTTTGAAGGAGCAATTACGTGCGCGGTACGTGGTGAGAAATAAACATACGTAAACACCTAAATGATGAAAAATCTGTACATATATCCACATTACGTCAATGGAGAAGCTCATTGCCATAAATTATGCGCTCCGTCTCTCGACTCTATAATTATACTGATAATTTACGTATGTTGCTTAAGCTATAGTTAATATTATACAATATATTTCTATTTTCACCGACTTGGAAGAGGAGAGTATATTTTTTCCATTTAGAGGGTATCTTTGTTTTTGTATACCTTTTTTTATTAAAAGAATGAATATATTATGCCCATATATCAAGTGATTTCGGCGACATAATCATTATATATATGTACCTATGTAATTATGTAGTTGTTACAGACAGTACAATGAAACAAAAAAAAAATATAATAGTAGCAGCTAATAGTAGGGGAGCCCAAGAGGGGATTTTCTGTAGTTACTCGAGCGCGGCAGATTAACATAAAAGAGGTTACCTTGCACTCTATGGAGTACTTTCACCACAATATAAGTCTTCTATATAAAGGGGCGCGTCTAGGGAAGCCGATTAAAATATTTAAAAAATGTTTTGATAAGGTAAAAATACTTGAAACCGTCAGATTAAGGTGTGGTAGGCTAGTCACATCCTGAAAAGTGTCCAATTTAATAATCTGCCGATTTGCACAAGCCTAAGAGGCAAAAATCATCATAAACTTTATAGTCGATTTTTTGGTTTGATGCCATTTTTTATATTATATTTGAAATTATTTTGTGATTTTGTGGGTAGGCACTGTCTGTTACAACTACGTATCCCTCCAGATGTCTTAAATCTTAGTCTTTCCCGTGACCATGATTACGGTAAAGCATTGGAAAGGTTGGGAACCAAAAATCAAAATTAATCTGCGAAAAAATCCGAAAAGATCGTTTTAAAAATCATAAAAAATGACTCAATATAAGGTTATACATACTTACAGTGTATGTTAAAAAAACCTTTGACAAACTTAAGGTTTTTACAATAATATAGATAGTTTGACTTCTATACTGTTGTTATCTGTCATAATAATAATAATAAATAATAAATATGTTGGGACATTAACACACAGCACCATCTAGTTCCATGGTAAGCTATGAGGCCTGTGTGATGGATACCAGATAGTTGATACACTACACATATATAACTTTAAATACATACATACTAGAGATATAAACACCCATGATTGGAGTACAAACATTCGTGCTTATCACACAAATGAATGCCCCCAGCGGGACTCGAACCCGAGACTGCTGGCACGGCAAGTAGGGTCACTACAAACTGAGCCAAACGTATCGTCTTGCCTCGATATCGTCTCGATATTAGAACTGACATCTCTTTTTATACTTATCTCTCATAGATATATGTATAATTAATCATTCCAGAGCTAAGAATGATGGCAATAATGCAGGACAGGAATAGCGAGGAGGTGCCACGCGAGTTCCTCGAGACGGGTCGCACGGGGCGCCGCAACGCTATGCCGGACATCCTGCACCCGCAGGGCGCGGAGATGACTACCGCAGACCTGCCGTCGCGGTTACAGCAACTCGTCACCACAGGTTAGTGTTTTGCCATTTTATTTAACAGGTTTTTTTTAGAAGAATTGGACTGATTTGTACAGGTACTATAAAGGCACATTCTACTAATACTTATCCATTGTATTGTTTAAGGAAGGCATCTAGATTGGGCAATCGTGTGGGGGAATATGAAAGTAAAATTTTTACTATACGCGCGCAACCCGACAGCTAAAAAGCGACATGATAAAGTTAGCTGATAACTGTTTGTTGCCATGGTAACAGTTGTTATTGTCTGACAAATGATATTAATATAATATTATATTATTTCCTTAAATGATATTCTATAAATATATGATTGTAATAGGCCTTATTTAATTAATTTATCAATCCTTTTACAAACAGAGAGTTGTGTGACGTACGGGATGAAATTTTTAGCTATTTTTGTTCTGTTACGTTCAAAGAAGTATTACTTCTTACGTGCTTACATAATTACAAACGCACGTTTTTTTTTAATGAAACTCGGAAAATTTGCCACGAGAAACCATTACAGCGCTTTAACTTTGGCACCGTTCGTCATGAAAAGATTTTTTTTGACAACCCTGCCAGGGTTTGACAATATTTTCGTTAAAACCAAAGGACGATTGTATATATTTTTATACTGAATTAAAGTTGGTTAATTTTAGCCTTTTTCTTAGGGTGTCTAAAAAGAAACAAGTCTTTTCTTATATTACAGATTATATTATACTATGGTACTTTATCAGGTTTTAATAGCGTTTAATAACTCGGAAGGCAAAATAAAAGTAAGAATTACGTTGATATTCGTATGCCTAGCTTACGCATATATTATGTACTAGCATCGCCCGCGGCTCCGCCCGCGTTCAGATGACCAAAAACCAAATTCTTATGTTTTACATATTAGTATACTCTTACATTGCAGTTTTTGTATCAGAAATATTTTCTGGCGGTAAAAAGTATCCTATATGTTGACCCGGATAGCCAGCTATCATCATACCAAATTTTATCAAAATCTCCAGTGGTTTTCCCATGATGCGGTAACAGACAGACAGACAGAAAGACAGACAAACAGACAGACAAAAATTCTGAAAACTATAGATTCGGCCTCTGCTGTATCGATAATAATGTCTATTTCAATTAAATTTTCCAAAAAATTATATTTAATGTACAGATTCGACTTAGTTACAATTTTATTATATGTATAGATAATGAACGGTTAAAAGTATAAAGTTAAAATTAGTATCAAATATGTAAAAAGTAAGGTCTACGGTCCCTTGGTGGAGAAATTTGGCCTTCTTAAGGCGGCTCAATCAAAAAACCTAGGGTTTATACTATATAGGCTTTTCAAGTTGACCTAGAATTATAAAATTTGGCAATAAGCAAGGTCTCACAGTGCACGTATAAGTAGATGTTGTACATACATATTATAATGATTTAATATATAAACTTTTTTTTTCATACATCACATAAGTGCTGTTTTTGGTATATGTCTATAGATAATCTGTATTATATTAAGAGGCAAAGACAAAACAGTTCAGCATCTTCTTCTCCTTTATTTTTCAATCGATTTCGTTTCTATTCGGAAGCTTTGAACGAGCTTTAAAGTTACCAACAAAAAAAATATTATGCACGAATTTCAACCACTCTGCGAATATTAAATGCAATTAATACGTAAGCCAAGTACAGTTGTTTATTGTGTTGTACTTATCAATCTAACAAATTACGTACGGTTGTTATAGACAACTAGCACTGCCCGCGGCTTCGCCCTTTAACCTTCCGATCGGTACCAAGCTTCACAGTAGCACCCGCTGGGCTAATCTGAAGAAGCCTCAATGCGTATCAAAAAAGATGTCAAATCCGACCAACCAGTAACTGTTTCACAATTTTACGGTGTTTATTATGTAGTGAAATTTGATTCACAATATCACTAAATGTGCTTAGGAAAATTATAATATACCTAAAAATGCCCCGTGCTATTGTAAGAAAAGGAGACGATTGATAATACTCCGGGTGATTGTAAATTCACTAGTGAAATTGTAATTTTACGGTTTTTACAATTTCCCTGCGACATAAATATGGATGTGTTTTTTTTTATATTATTACCTAGTCTTTGCGTTGTTCATTTATGTATAATTACTTCACTTCTTAGACTTGAAGTTGTGGCATAATATTAGATTATTATTTTCCTAAATAAATACCATATAAAATGAAAAAATATTTTTTTAATTCGAATCAGTAGTTTCAGAGATTAGTGCGCTGCGATTAACAAACAAATAAATTCATCAGCTTTGCATACGTGTTAGTATAGATTTATTTGCTTGTTAAAGCTAATTGACCGGGGCTTTGCTAAATTTAAACGAATGATGTAAAGAAAATCGACTATATTAAATTAGTTTCTGTTTATATTATAAACACTGTCGGCTCACCCTCGGTTCGCTCGGGTTCGTTTCTAGAAAAACAAACAAATCTATCTCACGGGAACCGTACATTTTTCCGGGATAAAAAGTAGCTTATGTTTTATTCTGATGTATGAGGTATATTATTGTAAATTTTCATTAAAATCCATTCAGTAGTTTTTGCTTGTTAAAGTAACAAACATATATACATCTATACATCCATCCCAATATCGCATTTATAATATTAGTAGGATTGTATAAAAGGACATTGAACATAGTGAAAGTAATTACAAATTTATTTGATGGCGAACGAGAATGGGACGAGAGCCGTAAATAATGTCTGTCCCACAGGGAAAAAAACGTTTTTAATTAGTTTTACGTATATGTTGTTACGAAAAATTATGCGTATATAGAATACGCGGTCTAAAAATATGTATATATTTTGATACTAGCACATCCCGCGGCTTCGCTCGCGCTAAAACTACAAAAAATCTCTAAAAAGGTAGTTTCATACAAACCTTCATCCCATAACTTACCTCTTTATGGGATGAATTTCAATAAATGCTAAAACACATATTTATTTAATTTTATTGAAGCACATTAATACCGAGTTTTAAGTTATTCTGATCATAAATATTTTTTGGATTGCATTTATAACGTGTTTACAGTGGGAATTAGATAATTTCCCGCGGTAAAAAGTAGCCTATGTCACTCTCCAGCCCTCTATCTCCAAACAAAAAGTCACGCCAATCCGTCACTCCGTTCCGACGTGAAAGAAGGACAAACAAACAAACACACTTTCACAATTATAATATTAGTATGGATTTATAATACTTTTGTTATTCGTGTACTTGCAAAATTAAGCCCTGTTCGTAGCGGTTTTTTTACCGCACTACGTATAACGGTAATAGAAATGTAAAGATAACAAGACTAATGCCATAAGCTTCTTTGACCGATAACACCTGTTTGGAAATGGTAATTTGATTACAAAGCCGAAGTCGTCAACATACCTATTTTATCTCTTAACGCATGTGCAGTTTTCCCCCATTTTTAAACGATTTACATAAGTTTAACGTGACATTCAAAGAGGTTTTAGTAAAAAGGATTTGCGTATATATATTTATTACATTCATACAGTTATAAATACACTAGCGACTCACCCTTTTTTACATGTGTTTTATTACAACTCAAAAAATATATATGATCAGAATTACTTAAAACTTTTTATTAACGCTCTTCAATACAATTAAATAAATACGTGTTTTAGTATTTTTCGAAATAAGTGGGTATAACAGGGCATGAAAGTTTGTATGAAACCCACGTTTTTAGTCTTTTACTTGAAGTTTTAGCGCAAGCGAAGCCGCGGGTTTTGCTATCTATACTAATATTATAAAGAGGTGATGTTTGTGAGATTGTGACGTTGTAGGGGGTAATCTCTGAATCTACTAAACCGATTTAGATAAAATTTGGTAAGAAAATAGTTTGAGACACTGGGCAAGACATAGGATAGTTTTTATCCCGGAAATCATCTCTTAAGGGGGTGAAAAGTGTAATAAAAGTTTGTATGGGGGAAGCAACCTAGGGACGAATCCGAGTACCTAATAAATAATTGTTATCATATATCGGAATCAGCTCTTAATATAAGATAAACTATGTATTACACCAACACTTATATTAACCAACCTTTATTAAACAAAAATTAAAAAGATTAAGGCAGTAGAACATCGTTTCATATGGATTCTAGATTAATTTAGTGCATATCATATTTAGGTCTATTCATTTGTACTTTGATGTTAATCAATTATTGAAATGGTTTTTAAGTTTTAAAATTATTTGGAGTGTCTATTATTTAATGACTCTTGATGCGACTGACGTTATGGCCTTAATGAATGTTTACCTGTTTATTGATTACGTCGCATTGTGGTCCGATAACAACGAATAAAAAAATGTAGGTACTAGGTAGGTAATATGTAAGTGCTTCTAGTGACATTTTCCCGTAATGTTTTATATTTATGTATATTTTATCTCACTTTAAAAGTTTAATTACTTGACTTTGTCGGATGTTTTTTTAATTCAGGCAAAAAATTTAAAATTCGGCCTAAGGCCTTCATTTAAAAAAAAAAGTAAATTGCCGGATATATCGCGAAAAATGCACATAAGATTATCATACATATATAGGTACATTTTTTTATTATTAAAAATGGGCTTATTCTTGACGTTCATCTTAGCTCGAAGGCATTGAGATAAGGTAGACATTCCAATTAACTAGTTCCTCCCCTTTTGAAGTCCGTTTAAAAAGACGGAAAAGCCTTAAAACTATTTTATACATGCTACATATTCGAAAATAAAATAAAAAAAGTATTCTAAAAAAATATTTTTAAATAGAATTTTAGTCCCACAAATATTACTACTTTGAAGTTTGATCTAATAATGTTTAGACTAAGATCAATACATAAAACCAATAGACCTGTTTTACATCAGTTTATACTTCACTAGGTTGATTCCACATATAAACTTTCATCCCCATTTTCACCTCCTTAAGAGATTTCCGGGATAAACATCTTTTTATCAAATTTCACCTAAATCGGTTCAGTAGTTTCAGAGATTACATCCTACAAACAAACTCACAAA